GGGGTGGCCCCAGGGCAAGAGGTCCCCAGAGCGTTAAAATCTGAGATGGGAAAATGATTTGGCTCCAAACTTTAAAACCACAAAATAATAAAATAAAATAAAATGTTTACTTAAATATCATCTAAATGTAACATTAAGGCAGCTTCATCTATTGTTAAATTTAGTATTTTAAAATGCGTCACTGCCCATGCAATTTGTAGGTCACATTTTCTCAGTTTTGGAAGAGGCCCCAAGATTTCCAGGAATGCACTATGTTTGTAGAGAAATCAAGGCCAGGAGCAAATCAAAGGAGTTACTTGTACACCAGTAGCTTTACAAATTATGTTAAGAATTCTGTTCAAATGCCGAGTATGGTAGTGCACATCTGTAATCTTGGTTACTCAGGATCGGAGGCAGAAGGAGCTTGAGTTCAAGGCCAGCCTTGACATAATTATTGAGCTCCTATCTCAAAAACAAAATAAACACAAAAGGGCTGGGGGTGTGGTTCAAGTGGTAGAGCACTTGCCTAGCGAACATGAGACCCTGGGTTCAGTTCCTAATACCACAGGGGGGGAAAAAAAGAGAAGAAAATTTTCTGTTCAAATATTTTTATAACCAGAACATAAAGTCGGGTGCATTGTTTTATTTTTGCTAAAAAAGAAGCCACACAGCATAAAATTTACCATTTAACCATTAGTAAATATACAATGTGACAACCCACATTTACACTGATGTATAATGGACACAAGAAATTTCCAAAACTAAAACCCTGTACCCACTAAATAGCTCCCTTTTCCCCTTCCCCCAGACTCTGGTAACCACCATTCTACTTCCTGTTTCCATAAATTTCACAATTCTACATATTTCCTGAAAGCGAATTGAGCCAGGCATGGTATATCACGCCTGTAATCCCAGCACTGGGGAGACTGAGGCAGGAGAATTTTGAGATTGGGACCAGACTGAGCTACATAGCAAGACCCTGTCTCAAAATTAAAAAAAAAAAAGGGGGTGGTGGAGAATCATGTAATATTTGTTTTTTTTGTGACTTTTTTTTTTTTTGCAGTAGGGGTTTGAACTCAAGGCTTCGCATTTGCAAGGCAGGTGCTCTACCATTTGAGCCACACCTGCAGCCCCCGTGATCGTCATTTTTCATGGAGCATCATGTCACAGAATGTGTTCGCATTCCCTTCCTTTTTAAGGCTAAATAGTATTCCACTACATGGACATACCACATTTTGCCTATCCGTTCATCTGTCCAGGGCATTTAGGTTGCCTACACCTCCATCTTGTGAATGAACTTGGGGTGCGAATTTCATTTGGAGACCCTGTTTTCATTTATTTTGGATATATAGACAGAACTGGGATTGCTGGGTTACACAGTGATTCTATTTTTAATTGTTTAAAGAACCTGGTATGAATACTTTTTCTTTTTTTGCAGAGCTGGGAATGGAATCCAAGACCTCACACAGTGCTAGACGAGTGCTCCACCACCGAGCCACATCCCCAGTCCACAAATGCATTTTAAAATGTTCTTTGGAGCATAGGTGGAGCTGTGATTCACGCTAGTCCAAAAATAGCCCCTGCACACTGGGTCAAGCATTCAAGACACACTTGTTTTTATTTTTTTCAAGAAAACTTTGTTTTTCTTTTGCTCAATTTTTTTTTTTTCCAGCACTGGGGTTCAAATTCAGGGCCTCACACTTGCTAAGCAGGTGCTCTATCACTTGAGCCACTCGCCAGCCCTATTTTTTTGTGTTAGGTATTTTCTAGGTAGGGTCTCATGAACTATTTTCTGGAGCTGGCTTCCAACCATAATCCTCCTGATTTCTGCCTCCTGAGTGGCTGGGATTACACATATGAGCCACAGTGCCTGGCTCTCTCACCCAATTTAATTGCAATTGAGTCCTCATTCCTCAACTTGGTCATCTCAGCATCTGATCAGCTCCCTGGGTACTCACTTTGCATCAAAGTACTTACTCTTTCCCCATCTCTAGCAGGGACTGGGCCCAGGCAGCAGGTCCTTGACTCTTCTGATGCTTAAAGACAAGGGTTTTCTTTTTTGGTGGGACTGGGGTTTGAACTCAGGGCTTCATGTTTGCTAGGCAGATGCTCTACCACTTGAGCTACTCCACCAGCCCTTTTTGGTGATGGGTATCTTCCAGATAGAGTCTCGTGAACTATTTGTCCAGTTGGCCTCAAACTATCACCCTCCTGATCTCAGCCTCTCAAGTAGCTGGGATTACAAGAGTGATTCACAGGCACCAGACTCCTTACTCTTTTACATCCATCTTTGAGGTCAGCCCCTAAGGGACCTAGGCTGGCTTTTTTGTGGAATCCCAGGACCCAGCACAGGACCTGGCACACAACAGTCTTTAATAGCAGATGACAGACTGAATGATTGAATGAACGAATGAGTGAATGAATGTAGACACTAGGAAATCAGGCTAGTGGGCCATTCAACAAGAGAGTCTTCTCTGTAGCCCACCACAGAGGGAAGGTATATATATATAGACTGTATGGTGGGGGCCGTGGCTGGCTCCCCTCCCTGCCCTTTCCTCTGACTCACCCCCTCCCCAGAGACTAGTTGCTGGGAAATGCTGAAAACTTGTCCCCCCTGCCCCTCCTTTCTGTGTTGACAGTGCTGTGGCCCAGGAGTCCCTCAGGCCACAGGGATGAGCCTCACATGTCAGCAGGGACCCAGACCAGCAGAATAGCACATGCCAGAGGCAGAGGCTAAGAACTGCCCGTGGTCCCGAAGCAGGGAGCTGCCCCCTTCCTTTTGAAGGCTGCTACAGGACCAGGCATGTCACAGAAATCTTGGGGAATGGGTGTGACAGTACCTGATGCACAGGTTGTCCTGAGAGTCAGAGAAGACTATGTGGGCACCCAGAGTCCAGGTGATACCTCGTGGGTTTGACATGGAGAAATTTAAGACCCTGTAGCGACTATTTTCACTTTTTTTGGGTGGAAGAGAGGTGGGACTGGAAATTGAACTCCTGCCTTTGTAACTAGTGCTCTACCGCTTGAGCCACAACTCCAGGTTTTTTTTGTTTTGTTTAGTTTTGTTTTTTTACTTTTAGTTTATTTATCAGCAAGAAGCTCATGCTTTTGCCCAGGTCAACTTTGGACATTGGTCCTCCTACCTCTGCCTCCCGATGTACTAGGATTACAGGTGTGAGCCACCATGACCAGTTCTTATTGTCACTCTTTGGGCTGCCCCAAAGAGAACCCCCTTCTTTTCCAGGGGCCTGCTTCCCAGCCCAGGTGCTGACCATTGCCGCTGGCTTTTCAGCCTCATGGTGAGGACAGTGTTCAGTGTTGGTGACAAGGGGCCTGTCCCCAGGGCCAGCAGAGGGCATGTCTGCACCAAGCTACTTCTGGGATGTGATTTGGGGCTATATGTCATTGGCTATGTGTGGCCTTTGGACTTGGTTCTCTATCCCTCCCAAAGATTTTGTGACGGACTCCATAACCATATACTGAATCCCTTTCTGGTTAAATTAGAGCTGGAAGTGAGACGTGGTGGCCATTCCTGTAATCTCAGCTACTCGGGAGGCAGAGGTGGGCAGATCAAAGTTTAAGACCAGCCCAAACAAAAAGCAAGAAGCCCTATCTGAAAGATAAACTAAAGCAAAAAAGGGCACAGCTCAAATGGCAAGCAGGAGGCCCTGAATTCAAATCCCAGTACTGCAAAATAAGAAAGGAAATCAGAGTATTATCAAAACTAGATCCTATACTGACCCCTCACCTACGCTATCCCTTGCATATCTTTGGCAGGTGTTACTGCTGCTCTCACCTGTTTGTTTGTTTTTTTAAATAGGACTGGGGTTTTTGAACTCAGGGTTTTGTGATGCAAAGCAGGCACTCTATGGCTTGAGCCACCCCTCCCGTCCATTTTTGCTCTGGTTATTTGTGGAGATGGGGTCTCGGGAGCTATTTGCCCAGGCTGCTCTCGAACCTTGATCCTCCCAATCTCAGCCTCCCAAGTAGCTGGGATTATAGACATGAGCCACCAGTGCTGGGCTTTTTTTGTTGCTGCAGTTTTGGGGATTGAACCCAGGACCTTGCACATGCTAGGCAAGCACTCTACACTGCTATCGCCTCTTTGCAGGTGATCCAACCAGGCCACTCACAGAAGCTTGTAAGCTGTCCAGGGCTACCCAGCAAGGAAGTGGCAGAGCTGAGTCTGGAACTCAAGTTTACAGTCATGCTTGGGACAATGGCAGATGAGGGTGAGGGGAGGTAGAGAGGGGACAGTTGCTGCTGTGCCTGGCTCAGACTGTGGGGAGGGAACATGAATGTGGACAATTCCAAACACTCAGCTCTGGACAGAGTCTGGGTGAAGGACCTGACCTTGTGCGAGTGGAAAGATCTGAAGCCACCATTACTTCAGTGGCTCTGCCTTGGGCCACCTGTGTGACCTCCTGACCCCCAGGAGGTCATCTTCTCACTAGAAGAGTGTGAGAGTAATAAATGAAATGACCAGTGAGAAAAAACCCTCTGCCCAGACCAGGTGTTCAAAAAAAAAAAAAATCATCTTTTAGATCCGGGGTCCCCAAGCCTCTGGGATGACCCGGCTTGTCACCTCCTGATTTAGCACTACTACACTGTTTGCAAAGACTGTAGATCGCTCATTCATTCAACTCACACCTATGTGAGGTCTCCCACGCACGGATTTGGGTGGCTGGGGCGATCCCGGCGTGCAGGGTAAGTGCCTCCTCCTCGCTGGTCCCCAACCACACAGTTAGATCATCTTGTGTACCGAGTACCGAGTACCGCCTGGGTACTTACACACGGTCCACCGCGCGTTCCCTGGAGCTTAGGCCTCCCAGGGGCGTCCTCAGGCCCCACCTCCGTGCCTCCGCAGGGCCCCGCCCCTCTCCGCTGCAGAAAACCAATGAGCGCCGAGGCTCAGGCAGGCTCCGCCCCTCCCGGGCCGGCTCGCGGGGCGGGGGCGGGGGCGGGGGTGAATGAAGTGGAAGTGATTCCCCGCCCCCGCGCTCCCCTCCTTGTAGCCTCCAGCCGGTCGCCCGCAGCCCTGGAACCCGGCGTCCGGCTCTCCCCAGCCAGGCCTCCGCGACGCGGACCCGCGATGGCCAAGCGCAGCTCGCTGTCCATCCGCATCGTAGAGGGGAAGAACCTGCCCGCCAAGGACATGTGAGCGCGGCCAGGGGTGGGCGCCCCCAACTTTCTGGGGAGGGGCGCTGTCCCCCCTTTTACACCTGACCTTTCCGGGGTCCACACGGCCCACCCACAAGTAGAGCATTGGCGAGGGGTGTGGCGTGTGTGGCCTCAGAGGGTGACTGGCAGGGAAAATGAGGACAGCAAAGATTTTTTGGGGCCACCGGACAGGGGGGGACAATGCCGGGGGGAGTGTCAGTGAGGGCTGGGATGGGGGGACGGGCGGCGATCTGAGAAGGGGCTTTGGAAGGACAGGGGCTGGCTCAGGAGTGCATCGCAGGGAGCACTGCCCAGGGTGTGGCTGGAAGGGGCGGGGTACCCCCTAGAAACAGGTCTTCCTCAATAATCCGGGAGCCCCTAGTATCCCAAGCGGGCACCTGAAACGCGTTGGGGCCAGGGGCTGTCCCGGGACTTCCTGCTGTGCACTTGGGCAGGGAGGGACTAACATAAAGAAAGGGATATAAATCAAGGGGCCAGGACTGGGTGCAAGATGCGGGGGTTGGGGGTGCCGGTAGTCACCCTTGCTTGTGCTCTCGCCTTTGTCGCAGCCATCCCTTTAATGCCCTCAATCACCTATAGCAGAGCGGCTTTCACCGTTCCATTTGATAGATGAGAAAAAAGAGGCATGAATGCTGGCTCCCGGTGGCAGAGCAAGGTCTTGAGTCTAGGGCTCCTAACTGGCAGTGACATCTTTCCCAGACAGTGTCATTTCCCCTGGTCCCTGGCCAGATTTTAGAAGCTTTCAAAGGTCCCGTGTCCCTCCCTTTTCATAGATCCTAGGGCTGAGCTGTCCCAGTCCTGGTCCTGTCCTGGCTGTGCTCCCTGCTTTCCGATGTGCAGCCTTAGACGGCTCCTTGCTCAGTTTCCCCTTCTGCGAACCAGGGCTCTGAAGTCTCACTAGCGGGAGAGGTGGAAGGCACAGAGCTAAAGGGCCTCTGGCTACCTGGAGGAGGGGAGGAGAGCCCCGTGGAAGCTAGGGTCCAAAGTCTGGGCTAGAGCTTCCCTGCCCCTGGGGATCCTTAGCGGATTCCCGGATGCAGAGAAGTGGCGAGCCAGGAGGAGGGCGCGAGGGCACCTCTCCCTCCTTGCAGGCACAGTGGCTGCTCTGAGCTTCCCAGAACGCTCAGCGCCAGAAGCGGTTCCAGTTCAAGGCCCCCTGGGCCTGAGGAGGCCCAGCTCAGCAGTTGCCATGGCAATGGTGAGGGAGGGGGTGGGCCATCTCAAGGTGGGTTTCTCTGTGCGTGGGAGGGGGTGGGGCACAAGCTGGGAATGAGGTCTCTCCGACGGGAGGAGGTAGATAAGCTCTGAGAAGGGTCTCAGCCCTCAGGCCCCCCCTCCAAGTACACCCCCCCCAACACACACACCCAGGCACTAGTAACTAGGTCATCCTGGCCTCCTCTGGCTGGTGGCAGCTGGGAGGAGCAGCCCCTCTGTCTGTCGCCTCCCTCCTCATCCCCGCAGCAGCTGGCCCTAGTGCCTGGCTCTAGGCTGTCACCAGCCCAGGGTGCTGAAGCTGTTAGGGCTGCACCTACCTGGGAAACCAGGTGCCCAATTCCCTGCCCCCACCCTACCCCAGCAGCTCAAGGATTCTGGGCTAGGGGCCTCCCTCCCTGGGGAGGGACCACCCGGTCCTGTTGGTTCTGTCTTCAGAATCTCTTTCCTCTCCCTGCCCCACTGCTGGTCCCATTCACCTCTTGTCACACCCCTCACGACCAGCCTGCCCCATGGTGGCTATTGTACATAGCTCTGACCTACCAACTGTCTCTTAAGCCCAGCTTCCCCATATTTGGGATATTGCCCTTCCCAGCCCTACCTTTGCATGTTAGGGACTTCTGCCTTCTGCAGTCCCTTTCAGAGTCCTCCAGAAAACTCCTCTTCATCCTTCAGTACCCTTTTCAAATGTTCCCTCCTCCCCATGGCTTTCCCTGGTGTCTCGGGCAAGGTTCCTGACAGCTGTTCTTGACTCCAGCACTTTGGTCAGCTTGAGGGAAGACCTTAGTGTAGCAGTTGCCCCTTCAAGGACTGTCTGTCCCTGCCAACTGAGAGGACAGGGACTGTGATTCATTGTCTTGGTATAGCTGGTACCCTGAGACACCTGGCCCACAATAGAAGAGAATAAGAGGTGCTGAGGACCTTTCTGTTGGGTCTCTTATTAACTGTATAAGGTACATTTGATGGAGAAACTGAGGTTCAGGGTATAGAAGTCATCTGCCACACTCCCACAGCAGGCAGGCAGTGAAGTCAGGATTCAGATCTTGCTGCTGCACGCTTGCAATGGGATTGATTGGACAGGCTTTTGACTGCAGAGCCAACAGGCAGCCAGAGGCCACAGCCAGTAACCATGGCAAGGGTGATGGTGAACCCAGCTCGCCAGCCCAGTCCTGTCTCCTGAGCAGTATCCCCTCAGGCTTACACATTTCTGAGGATGGGGAGCTCACTGCCTCTCCTAGTGACCCATCTGAGTGAGACAGTTCTGAGTAGAGACCTTCCTCACACAGCTACCACCTGCTGCCCTGCCACGTCCACGTGTGAGGTTTTATTCCTCTTTGGGACACATCACCAGCAACATTCAGAACCTTCCTGGCTCTCACTGTCTCCCATCCCTATATACCTGAGTAACTGGGCAAAAGGCTAGTCCCACGGTGACCAGTGACCCACCCGCTCCCACACCACTGGCCCTGGGGACAGGCCCAGAGCTATTTTGGGGTTTGTCCTCTCCTTCCTCTTCCACAGCCTAGAAACTGCCAAGACCCTAAATATAGGGGCCCACAAGTAGCCAGGCCAGGCCCATTGGCTGCTGGCTTGGGGAAGGAAAAGTGGGAGAGGGTACCAGGCACCATGGCTCACATCTGTAACCCCAGCTATTCAGGAGGCATAGGTGGAAAGGATTGAGGTCCTGGCCAGCCCTAGGCAAAAAATGCAAGACCCTACCTGAAAAATAACTAAAGCAAAAAGGGCCCGCATTAGAGGGGAGAACACTGGCAGGAGACATATCCCAGGGGCTGTCTTTACACCTGGCTTCAGCCCACTCTTGGCACTGCCCCCTCCCACTGTGGTGCAGTCCCCTAGTCATCACTTTCCTGCACACCTGGGCTCTGTCTCTGCCTCCAGCTTTTGACTGTGGTATCCTGCCTGCCAAGTTCACAGCTGCCTAGTGGACCATGCTGGTCTCAAAGGGATGAACACAGGATCCCTGCCTATAGCAGGGCAGAGGGAACCCTGTGGAGGGGCACAGCCCCTAAAGGTCCTCTGTCACCTCAGCTGGCACTGACCTCTTCTTCCTCATTGTATAAATACATACTCAGCTCCTGGGGCTGACAGCCGAATGTATCACCTGGAGCACACAGGGGCCTGATCACTTGAGGCCTGGAGTACGCCAGCTTTGAGCTGGTGACACAAGCAGGGGTGGTCACAGGGGTTCACAGGAGAAGGAGGCTCTTGGTTGATCTGGGAAGGGGGACAGAGTCTCAGCAGCTCTACCGAGCACCTCCCAGAGGTTGGCCTTCTGATGTCCTGACCCAGGGCAGCTACCCATAAGCTGGAATTACAGCTCCCACTTCCCAGGTGCCAAAGTCTTGGCAGGCATTTCCTGTCCCTCGTCAGGGCTTTGGAAATGTTACCCTGATGGCGTCCTCTGCCAGAAGAGGCACGTTAGAGAACTGGGAAGTGGACGTTAAAATTCCCCAGCTTCTAACATATAAATACACTTCCTTTTAACCAACACCTGACCCCAGTTCCACTCTGTCTTTTCTGCCCTGGCCTGGCTGAGGCCCTCTCAACCCCATGAGCCCCCCAACCTGAGACAGGGGCATTGAGCAGTCCTGAGCTCGCCTTCCCCATCCCTCCTTTCAGCGCGAGAGCTCTGGAGGGCAAATCTGGCCATTCGTTCATTATTTACTCATTCATTCATTAATTCAGTAAGTGCTCAGAAGATTCCCCACCCCCCTTGTGCCAAGCCCTGTGCTGGACCCTGGGGACACAAGTGGTGTTGACCCTCAGGTCAGAGTGGAGGAAGCAGGTGATACCAGGACTGGGATGGGTGAAGCATGATGGGGGGTGGGAAGCAGCGGGACCCCAGGGGAGCCCTTTCTCCTTGTCCGTCTTAGAGGAGGGGACTGCGTACAGTCCAGGCAGCAGGGACACCGCATAGGGCTGGAGTTTGGTGTCGAGGGGGGGCGCTGGGAGAAGCTTGGCGCTGTTGTTAGGACCCGGCTCCCAGCAGAGGTGGAGTGAGGTGAGAGTGGGTAGGAAGGAGGAGCAGTGACGCGTCCCCGCCCCTGCGCGTCCTGCCTTTCCTTCACCGCCCCCCCGGTGACGGAGGGGCCCATGTTCAGGCCTGGGGAACCTTTGGGCTCCAAGCCAGGACTTTGCCTCCACCTCCGCTGTCTTCCCTTCTTCCAGGGATCCCTGGCGGGGGTGGGCGGGAGGGGAGGGGGGGGTTGCCCAGGAGGCCCCGCCCCCGCCCCGCCCCCAGCGGCCCTCCCCGCCAGCCCCGCCCCTCGCCCGTCTGTCTTGCAGCACCGGCAGCAGCGACCCCTACTGCATCGTGAAGGTGAACAATGAGCCCATCATCAGGTACTACCCCCACCCCAGGCCCAAGGGCGGGCGGATCTCCCTCATCCAGGAGGAGAGGGTGAGGGCTGCGACCCCCCTGACCCCTGGGACCTCCATCGTGTCCTGACACAGCAGCTAGGAGCTAAGACCCACCTATAATTCGTATGACTAATCGTTGACCTTATCGCTGGTCCAGGAATTATCTTCTGCCTGCTTCTGGGCTCGTAGCCAAGGACCTCCTACCTGCCTCTCTCTGTTCGTCTTTGTCACCTTTACTGAGACCGTGGTGACAATTAGTCACAACGCTATCATTTATGAAGTGTTGTCTGCACCAAGCCCTTTGCGAGCTCACTTGATTCATTACAGTGAGCTAGATACTGTACTATTAAAACCCATTTACAGATGAGAAACTGAGGCTCACAATAAGTCACTTGTCCAATGTCACATGACTAAGTGGCAAATCCAGACTGGAAGTCAAGTCTGGCTGGCCCCAGAGCCTGAGCCTGTTCTCTTGCTCTGATTTGGGGTCCCTGTCCATGGTAGAGTCCCACGGCAACTATCTCCCCAGGAAGGGTCACTTCCCCTGGGTGCCCCTTCCTGCATGGTCTCCACGATCTCTGGACATGTCTTTGCTGTCCTGTCCTCTCTTTCATCAAGGCCCCTGCCTCCAAATTCAGGGGGAGAGCTTCTCAGTTGTACTGCACATCTGAGCAGTCATCGCTGACCCCTAGCCAAAGCCACCGGACTCATGGTTCTTCCCTGCCTGCAAGTGGGGACCAGCCCTTCTCCAGACCCAAGTGGGGAGAGGGACGTAGTGGTTCTGATTATCTCCTACGTGGAGGAGAACCAAAGCCTCAGAGTCCCCATAATCTGCCTGAAAAGTAGTGGGGCGAGGGTGGTCCCCTGTGCCTTCATCCAGGTCTGGGGAGGCTTCAGCTGTGCTTCCCCTCTTCCCACTCACATGCCCGGCTGAGTCCTGTGAGTTGAAGGGGCTGATCTTGGGGCTATAGCCAGAGCTAGGTGAGGTTGGGAGGATGACTTGTGGCCACAGCTCTGCCCCTTTCCTGCTGTGTGACCTGAGGCCAGCTACTGCCACCTGTGTAGCCAAGTGTAAAAGGGCCCATGCCCTGTCCAGGGCAGACAGGAAGGTCAGGGAATAAGGACTGGTGGTGGATAGTGGGTTTAGGAAGAGGAAAAAGTGTCCTACACTGAGCCATTTGAAGGTGGGCTCAAGTCACACAGCCCTATCTTGCCTCCCCAGCAAGATGGGGGTGGCCTGGGCAGGTGCTGAGGGTCCTTTCCTATAGGACAGCCACTGTGTGGAAGACCCTGTGCCCGTTCTGGGGCGAGGAGTATCAAGTGCACCTGCCCCCCACGTTCCACGCTGTGGCCTTCTACGTCATGGATGAGGATGCTCTCAGGTGGGTGTGCCCTGCTCTGCAGCTGGGACTCCAGTCTGTGCCACTGTTGGGGCTGCTGGTCCCTTTGCATCCTTTTTGCGGCTTGCCAGGGAGAGAGAGAGGAGCCCTGAGGGCCTGGGAGGAGGCAGGACTGAGGGTGTGAGTGTGGATGCATGTGCATCACACGTGTGCGTGTCCACAGGGGCATGGAGATACAAACTAAGAAATGGCTACCCTTGTCGGGCACCTGTGGCCCATGCCTGTAATTGGGAGGCTGAGATCGGAAGGATCAGTATTCAAGGCTAGCCTGGGCAAATAGTTCCCGAGACAACATCTCCAAAAAAAGTTATAATAATATAACCAGAGCCAAATGGACTGGAGGTGTGGTTCAAATGGTAGAGCACCTGCTTTGCAAGTGTGAAGCCCTTAGTTTAAACCCCAGACCCACCCCCTCCCAAAAAAGAAAGAAAGAAATGGGCACCGAGAGGCCACGAGCTGGGCAGGTGCTCAGGTCCATGTGTTGAAATGTCACACATCCAGCAGAGTACCCAGAATCCAACACAAGGGTCATGGGTCCAGCTCTGTTGGGCTGCCCTGTAGGGTATCAATCTTCCTGATCCCCACAGAGGGCCCTGAGCTTATTGTGTTTGGGGGAGGGCATGCTGGGCTCCCAGAGAACAGGTCCCACAGCTCTGCTTAGCACCAACTCCCATGTCCACCCCTAGCCGGGACGACGTTATCGGCAAAGTCTGCCTCACAAGAGACATCCTGGCCTCTCACCCCAAGGGTAAGAATGCACAGGAGGGAACCCACCCTGGCTCCTGCTTCCCTTCCCCTGCTGGACTTCCCCCAACTGGATTGCCCAGCCCTTGGCCACCCTCCTGCACCAAGGCCCTCCCTCTGGACATCCCTGTACACCCAGGTTCTGCCTGGGATGCCCCTTCCCTAGGTCAAAGGACCAAGGCCTCTGCAGGGAAGGGGCTGAGGTGGAGGGAGCCTTCCTCCCCATTGGGTCAACTCCTGTATCCTGTGTGATCCCCTCCACCTGTGTGCGCCCCACTGCCCATTTCTCCTAAGCCTGACAGGTTGGCTTGAAGCTGGTCCAGGCAGGAGAACCCTTGGATGAATTCTGGAATGCAAACCTTCTTTTGAGGTGCTGTGTGACCTAAAGCAGGTCTTGCCTTCTCTGGGCTTTTCTGAGAGGTCAGACCAAGAGCTCTTGGATGCTTCAGGCTCTGCCACCTGAGCCTCTGTGACCCTCTCATGGCTCCCCCGGCATGCACCTGCTCCTGTCTGTGAGGCTGGAAGGGTTACAGACGGGTGGAAGCAGGCTCTGCTGACTCATGCAGCTTCTGGCCCTGCCAGGCCAGAGGCCTCTTCTACTGAGGCCCCAGCTGTCCAGGTGCTCCAGTGATGCTGGGCCTCCCAAGCCCTTGTAGCTCCCCAATCTGGGCCTCAGATTCCCTTCCCAGCAGTCCGAGGGGAAGCCGCTGAAGAGAGAGAGCAGTGGCACACAAATGAAGATTGGGACAACCAAACACAATGTGGCCCCATAATGAGGGCACAGGCCCTGGGCCACTGACTTAGATCCTAATCCCAGCTCTTCCAAGTGCTGATGCTCAGTTTCTCCCTCTGTCACTGGGGTAACAGCCCTCCTTCATAAATGCTCAAGAGGATTCTGGGGGGTGGTGCTGGCAGGGCTGAGAGTGGAGGGTGTGGAGGAGCCAACCAGGCCCCTGGCTAAGCGGCAGCTCTGCAGGATTCTGCGGTTGGGCCCACCTGATGGAAGTAGACCCCAATGAGGAGGTGCAGGGCGAGATCCATCTGAGGCTGGAGGTTGTGCGGGGGACCCGAGGCTGCCACCTGCGCTGTTCTGTGCTGGAGGCCAGGTGAGATGTTGGGGGGAGCAGATAGTGTGTGCCCCATGAATCTGGGGAGCCCATTGTGGAGGCTGAGCCTCCTCTCCTCCACCTATCCCTGGGCCTTCTTCCATTCAAGTCTGCTCTCAAAAGAGAGGTTGGGGTGCATACTTGTAATCCCAGCACTCCAGAGGCTGAGGCAGGAGGATCGCAGGTTCAAGGCCAGCCTGGGCTATATAGTGAGAACCTGTCTGAGAGAGAGGAGAGAGAGAGAAGAGAGAGAGGGAAGAGGGAGGGGGAGAAGGAGAGGGTGTGTGTGTGTCTGAGGAGGTGGTCCTGACTTGATGATACCTAGGTAACCCCCACTTAGGCATGTGGTCCTTCAGGGAAGGAATGAGGTTCTAACAGTAGAAATTCTAGCATCATAGAACAGAGGCAAAGGCGGACCCCGAACTGTGCTCAAACGGCCCCAGCACCCCAGTACTAGTGTTGGGCTTCCCCTGGCTTGATTCCAGTATGAACTTGGCTTGGTGTGTGTACCAAGTTCATACTGGGTGGGGTAAGGGGTTAAAATTGTCACTGAAATCTCCAGACGGTGTGTGGGTGGCTCTCCCTAGGAGGGACAGTGGTTTGCTTGGCTCTGTGGGCCTGAGTCACCTGTGACAGGGCCACCCCCCCATCCCCCAGCACCAGGGTATTTTTAGCTGCAGGCCCCACTCATCTGGGCCTGGGTGTGAGTCATGCACACTCCAGTCCATTACAGGCATCTTCCCTTCTGGCGCTAGCCCTCTCCCTAGAGTCCCCCAGCTCCTGGAGTCAGTGGGCAGCCTCTAGCCAGCCAACACCGCACAGCTAAGGTGCTGCTCTGGGAGGAAGGAGTCTCTCCTGGAAATGAGGGATCTGGGTTGGTGATGGATCCATGGGGGATCCTGTGGCAGTCCCTGGCTTTATTTTCTGCCTCGGGGGACTGTACTCTTGCAAAGCCACAGGCCACACCCACACTCACTCATTCCAGGCCCTGCCCACCTCCAGCCTCAGCCTTCCTTGGCACCAGGCTGTCTGGGGCACACGTGTGCACACGTGTACACATGCATACATCACTGCCCCATCCTGGCATCTCCATCCCTACCCACTGGAGTTAGGAAATGACAAAGCACACACACACACCCCTTCCTGCTCTACAAGAACCTCTCTCTACTCTTGGAGGCTAGTGGGAACACAGTGGGTGGGCCAGTTTGACCTCCTCTTAGCAAGTCCTTATAGGGGAGAGCTATGTCCCCTTTTCAGTCAAGACAGGCCAGGACCTGGCCTCTATTGTCCTCCGCTGGTACTCCTTAAGAACCCTCGTTTGTTGCAGGGGGAAGAAAACATCTCCTTATTATTCTGGCTAGAGTCTCAGGCCCAGATCTTTTTGTTCTCGTAGACAGTTTTGTTTTGCCACGCTGGAGGTAGAACCAAGGGCCTTTGCGCATGCTCGGGCAAGCGCTCCTCCACTGAGCTCCACCCGCAGTCTCTTACTGTTACGAGAGAGAAAGGGAGACAGGTGTGAGAGGTTTAACGGCTAAAAAACAGGCAAGAATATTTATAGCAAATAGAAGAAGGGTGGCTTTGTTGTCCTCCAGGGGGATCCAGAGCAGAGCAGGGAGTGCGGGGACCGGAATGGAGAGAGGGATGATTGGCCAGGGTCGCACATCACCAACCCCAAGCTGGGGCCATTATTGGGGCAGGCCCATCAGCTCGCTAAGCCTCTGGGGGGTGGGGATGGGGGTGATCTTCTCCAAACCATTGCTGACTGCTCCTGGAGCAGCGGGCGTGGCGTGGCCAGGGGTACTCCCGGGGGCGTGGCCAGTACTCCCGGGGGCGTGGCCTAAGTTCTGCCCAATCAGAAGAGAGTGAGCACCTCTTTTTTTTTTTTTTTTTGGTTTAGTAGGGAAAGGGGAGAGGCGCTGATCAGGCAGCCACCTTTGCAGTGACCAGATGAACCCAGGTCTTTCCAGCCTGGCGTGGTCACCTGGCAGTGAAGACAGGGGTACCCCAGTAACTAGTGAGTAACCTGCTGTCCCCATCCCATCACCAGGGACCTAGCCCCGAAGGACCGAAATGGTGCATCTGACCCCTTTGTCCGAGTGCGCTACAAGGGCCGGACACAGGAGACCTCGGTGAGGAAGCCAGGGGGCTGGAGAGGGGGGCAGGGAGACTTAGGGATCTCCAGCCACGCCATTGCCTCCTCGCCATCACCCGTGAGGTCAGGATGGCACCACCGTCTTCCAGAGAAGGCTCAGAGAACTGGCAACCGCTCTGAGGGGATGTAGGGGTGCCCGGCCCTGCCCAGCCATGGTGAAGAGAAACAAGGAGGGCATCAAGACAGCTGGCGTCTAACCCCAAAGTCTACAGCTTCCCCATCTGCCTCGCTCGCCTCTGGAAGCAGACAGACACAGGCCTGAGGGAGGGTGTCCAGATCATTATTTCTGTGGCCTTGGACAGGTCCCTTCCCCACTCTGGGCCTCAATTTCCCCATCCATTAAGTGGGTGGGGTCTTGGACAGGAAGTTTTAACCTCTGCAGGTGCCCTTAGCTGGGCCTGGGGAGTCTTGTAGAGCAAATCCCATTCCTGCTCTTTTTCTTTCCTTCTTTATTTCTTTCCTTCCCTCTTCATCCCTCCCTCCTTCTCTCCCTCTCTCCCTCCCTTCCTTCCTCCCTCCTTCCTTGGGATTTGAACTCAGAGCCTAGAGCTGGCCAGGCATGTGCTCATTTGAGCCACGCCTCCAGCCCACACCTGCCCCTTTCTGAGTAGGTAGTGAAGAAATCCTGCTACCCACGCTGGAACGAGACATTTGAATTTGAGTTGGAGGACGGGGCCACAGAGGCACTGTGCGTGGAAGCCTGGGACTGGGACCTTGTCAGCCGGAATGACTTTCTAGGCAAAGTAAGCACTCCCCACCCTTCACTCAGGCTACACCTGCCACCTGCAGCACTTGGCACCCATTCCAGCCACTCCACCTTTGGGAACCTCTCTCCACTTCACCAGAAGTGCGAGCCTGGGGGTCCCTAGGACCAGCAGTTGTCTTCTTCGCCCACTGGTGCTGGAGACCCCTTGCAATGTGTCCCCCACACTAAGAGAGTGACACATGGCCAGGAAGAGACCTGAGTGTCCTGGCCCCTGCCTCCCCTGTTCCCAGGTGGTGGTCAATATGCAGAAGCTTTGTGCAGCCCAGCAGGAAGAGGGCTGGTTCCGGCTGCAGCCTAACCAGTCCAAGAGCCGGCGGCGGCAGGGAGAGTGAGTGCTAGCATTGGGCCCTGGGGTGAGGGCTGGGATTTGAGAGCTGGGGCTTCGTGCAGGCAGGGTAGGTGGCTGGTTAGGGGTCAGGGGACACAGTCCCCAAGTTTCACTTGTCCACCAAGCTAGGACCCTTCTCATCCAGGTGGGACTTTTCCTGAAGAGCTACACAGGACTCCTGCTTTCAGTTTTCTGGAAAACCCTCAGACCCTTTCCCTTTATGGTTTCCCTGTAGAACTCTGACAGTCCCTAGAGTCAGTCTTCCTGAGCCTTAGCAAGTGTCCTCACCTGGAGGGGTCAGAGCAAGAATGTTTGAAGGTTAGATCCACTGTGGCAAGTTGCTTAACCTGCCTGAGCCTCAGTTTCCCTGAGTCTCAGTTGTTAGAAGGGTTGGGGATTTCCTTCTGGAATAAGCATACGTGTGAGGGCACTGTTGCCTGGGAGTTTATACATGTGAGGTTGAGAAGCCTTGAGTCAACTCCTGAGGAGTCTGGAGGGCAGGGGGTCAGACCTTGAAGATGGATGGAGTTTCCACAGGTATGGAAGCAGGAAGGGCCTTCCAACAGAGAAAACAGTAGGGCAGCTGGAGGGCCAGAGCAGAGAGACTGTGAGGCAGTTGGAGGGGTGCAGCCCAGGGTGGCCTGGATTCCTGGTGGAGAGGTCACAGGCTGCCCATTCCAGGGGCAACCTGGGCTCCTTGCAGCTGGAGGTGCGGCTAAGGGACGAGACAGTGCTGCCATCTGGCTGCTACCAGCCCCTGGTGCAGCTGCTGTGCCGAGAAGTGAAGCTGGGTACCCAGGTGAGGAGGCCTAGGGGGAATGGATGTTGGGAGGGCCCAGGGGCGGTCCACTAGCCCTCTCTGTCCTTCTAAACCCATTCTGCAGGGCTAGGGCTGTGGCTCAAGTGGTTAGAGCACTTGCCTAGTATGAATGAAGCCCTGGGTTCCATCCCCAGTACTGTAAAGTATAATAGAATAAACCCATTCTGCAGAGAAGCAAACTGAGTCCAGGGATGCCAAGGAGCTAGCCAGTGCCCAGGCCTAATCCCCAACCACTCTTCCTCTGGTGCTCTGAGGTCCTCAGAGTGTGTGTAGATGGGGTGGGGTGGGGAGTGGGGGGAGAGGGGGTTTCCTGTTTCCCTGTTCATCTCCCAGCCCTGCCTCTCCCTGCTGCCTCCTCCAGGATCCAAATCATCAGCTGATCCAAATCATCGAGGAGACCACAAGCACCGAGTGCCGTCAGGAGGTGGCCAACAACCTGCTCAAGCTCTTCCTGGGGCAGGGGCTGGCTAAGGACTTTCTGGACTTGCTTTTTCAGCTGGAGCTGAGTCGTACCAGTGAGACCTGGGAGGAGCTGGTCCCAGGCAGGGTGGAGGGGGTCCTCTGTAGCAGACTGATGAGTCCCAGAGAAAGTCAAGGCCTAATGAACCCTTTACTGGGAGCTACTTAGAGACCCCAGCCCCAAGGTCTTCTGTCCTCCTTCCCCCAAAGTCTTGTCCCAGTCCCCTGCCCACTGGAACCTCTGCTCACAGGTGAGGCCAACACCCTGTTCCGAAGCAACTCTCTGGCCTCAAAGTCCATGGAGTCTTTCCTGAAGGTGAGGTTACATGATATGTTGTAAAAGATGACACTAAGGTTCAGGGAAGCCAGTTCTGTCTCTGGGCTAGGGCTCATGAAAGCCAAGAAATTCATTCATTCATTCATTCATTCATTCATTGAGAAGCAGTTTATTGACCCACCCTGGTCGTGTATCTGGCCCCACCCTGGGCGGATACTGCAGGCAGAAGCTGCACGGGGTGGCTGGAGAGGGCAGCTGGAGGTGGGAGCTGTGACCAATGCTGCTCGCGGTGGCCCCCAGGTGGCGGGGATGCGGTATTTGCACGGCATCCTGGGTCCCATCGTCGAGAGGGTGTTCGAAGAGAAGAAGTACGTGGAGCTGGACCCCAGCAAAGTGGAAGTGAAGGATGTAGGGTGAGGCAGGGGTGATCCCTGGGGGCACCAACCGTGTGTTTATGGCCCTTTCTGTCCGGATTGCCTGTCGTTTCTCTGCCCACACGTATGTCGTCTTTGTGTGCGTGACTCGGCTGATGTCTTTCGGCGCCTTATGGCCCCGGGATCCCCTGCCCGCGACGTGTGTCGGGGCGCAGATCACGATCCTCTCCGCCCATCCTCTGCGACCCACGCAGGTGCTCCGGGTTGCACCGCCCGCAGACCGAGGCCGACGTGCTGGAGCAGAGTGCGCAGACACTGCGCGCCCACCTGGGGGCGCTGCTGAGCGCCCTGTGCCGCTCAGTTCGCGCTTGCCCGGCGGTGGTCCGCGCCACCTTCCGCCAGCTGTTCCGGCGCGTGCGCGAGCGCTTCCCCAGCGCCCAGCACGAGGTGTGTCTCCGGTGTCTACCGAGCTGGGGCGAGCAGAGAGGGAGGGACTGGTGGGGAGGTCGGGTTTGGAAGACAGGACAGGCAGCAGCAGAGACAAAGGGAAGGGGGATGCAGGAGCTCAGACCTTGTGGGAATCCAGCCCCACCCACCCGCTCTCTGCACCCCTCCAGAACGTGCCATTCATCGCTGTCACCAGTTTCCTCTGCCTGCGCTTCTTCTCTCCCGCCATCATGTCGCCCAAGCTCTTCCACCTGCGGGAGCGACATGCAGATGCCCGCACCAGCCGCACCCTGCTCCTGCTGGCCAAGGTGCAGACCTGGGCACATGGGGACGGGATGTGGCCGGCTGGGTGTTGCTTAGGGGTCTAGCCTGGATAATAATGTTCCCAGCTGGCTCCCGGAAGGCCTTGTGGCGAGGCCACGTTTACTGTCATGGGCACAGCACTTCACAGTTTAGAAAGTCTTCTGGTGGTCACCTCCACTGAGCTCCGTCTTATAGACGAGGAAACAGGTCTGAGGGGTGCATTATAAAACCCAAGGCCTGTCTGGTGAACCGGGGCCTTGCAACCTGAGTCTTCAGGCTGCACAAATCTGCCCAGCCCCAGGTGCCAGAACAAGACAATCAGATTGGCCCCAAATAACCTCAATGATCAGGTCCCAAAAATCCTCAAACGCCCTGATCCAAATGACCCTTCCTCCCCCATACAGCCTTGGTAGGCTCATGGGCTGAGCATCTGCCTCCTGGCCTTCCATCTGTACAGTACAGTGGAGTGGGGTGTAGTGTCCAGGCCCCTGACCCCCAAATCCTGGTTCTTCCTACTCTCACCCCCAGGCTGTCCAGAACGTGGGCAACATGGATACGCCGGTTTCCAGGGCCAAAGAGACTTGGATGGAGCCTCTACAGCCCACCGTGCGCCAGGGCGTGGCACAGTTGAAAGACTTTATCACTAAACTCGTGGACATCGAGGAGAAGGAGGGTGAGCGCTTCCAGGCGCGGCCCCGCCCACGGCCTCTGTTGGCCCCGCCCCCGGGCCCATGGCCCCGCCCACAGCCTGCTATTTATATTTGCCCACTCCGCCCAGGGCATCGCCCACCCCTGCCCAGAGTTCATGTTCTTTTCGGTCCTCGCCTTGGCTCCGCCCGCTACTGCACAGACTTCCAATAGGACGCTTGTGGCCCCAGCTCATAGCCCCGCCCATTGCTTCCAGTTCACGTTTGCTCCGCCCCCGGGCCAATGGCCCTGCCCATCATTCCGAGTGTCTCTCTTAGCCCCTCCCTCTTCCCACCGTCACTCAAATCTCATCGCCCCGCCCACTGGGGGAGCCCAGGCCTCTGATTCAGCTCACCCCGCCCCCTAGCTCATGGCCCCGCCCTCACCAGCCCAGCTGTTGGCTTTGCTCCACCCCCAGCCCCGCCCCCGCTCACTCGCTCTGCTTCGGTCCTCCTTCCCGGGTCTGCAGAGCTGGACCTGCAGCGGACACTGAGTTTGCAGGCACCGCCGGTGAAGGAGGGACCGCTGTTCATCCACAGGACCAAGGGCAAGGGTCCCCTCACATCCTCCTCCTTCAAGAAGCTCCACTTCTTCCTCACCACCGAGGCCCTCAGCTTCGCCAAGACGCCCAGCTCCAAGGTGGGTAAAAGGAGGAAGGCTGGCGAGTGGGGCGGGGGCGGGTGGGGGAGACTTGAACACCCTGGAGACACCTGGGCCCTTCCTCTCAGGTGCGCTGCCAGGCTTCTGGCGTCTGTGCTGCTGGTCAGCTAAAGGTCATTCAAGGATGGGGCCTCTCTGAAGAGCTGTGGCTCCTGGGCCAAGGGGAGGGCCTGAGGATGCTTCCGGGAGATCAGAGAACAGAGAGGGACTAAGGGGTCCTTAGAGGAACCAAAACAGGCCTGGAGGGAGGCCCGGCCGTGTGTACCCCGCCTGTGAAGACTCAGATGAGCTGCTTGCTCTAAGGGTCCCTCCAGGACTGAAAGATTTTTTTTCCCATATACGCATAATTTCTTTCTGGTCCCCGTTTTTGTCCATTGTCAACTGTGGCAGTCAGATGGCTGGTAGGACTGAGGGGGACAGTTGGGGCCACGCCAACGGGAAGCCCACCCCTTCCTGAGGAGTTTGGCCATTGATGGGAAAGGTCTCCCGTCTCCTGTTGTGACCATTCTGGAAATATCCATCGTGCACCTAGTCTTCCTCACCAACCTCGCCAGACTGTTGGTGGTGTTCCCATTCATAGAACCCGGGCTGGGAAGTGCAAGGGGACGTGTGCAAAGTCACCTGGTAGGGTGTGGTAGAAGTGTGATCTACCTCAGTCTGGTTCTTCCCCTCAATGCTGCTGCCTGCTTCTTGGGAACCCCAAAACTGTGTAGCCAAATGACTCTGACACTTTGGAGTTCTGGGGGCATGTTTGAGGCAGAAGCCAACCAGAACCTAAAGAATGGGGCAGTGAGGGCCTCTAGAATGGGAGGGAAGCTGGGGTAACCAAGGAAGGCTTCCTGGAAGAGACAGGAGTGTTAGTGCTGAAAAGGATCTAAAAGATCTCCTTGGTTGGGCACAGAGGCTCACATCTACCTGCCTGGGAGGCAGAGCTAGGAGGATCATGGTTTGAGGCCAGCTAGGGTAAAAATGCCAGTCCCTATCTGAGAAAACAAACAAAAGCAAAACTGGCACAAATGTTAGCAAGCACAAGGCCTTGAGTTCGAATCTAGTACCCCTCCCCCCACATAGCATGTTGTCCAGTCTGCCTTGGTCATGGGTCACCTCAACAAGATCCTTTAAAGACTCTGTGTGCTGCTGACGAGGGGAAGATGATGGTCATAACTGTAACCTGTTCTGTCTTTGCAGCTCTCTGGTATAAGGTTCTTTTCCTTGAGCTGAAGTTCGCTTTCTTGTGGCTTTTCTTCTCTGATCTGTACTTGGCCCCTTTGCCCTAACACAGCAGAGAGTACAAACTCAAGTTTGTTCCCCATAGACCCAGCACCCCTGAGCTTTCTACCGATTCTCAGGTGGCTCTTCTACATGTCTTATGTGCCCTGGATTTGGGGCTACAACAGCTTCATTCCCCGCCCCAAACACACAAGTGAGAACGCTCAGTATTTGTTTTTCTGTGCCTGACTTATTTCACTTAACATAAAGTCCTCCAGTTTCATCCTGGTTGCTGCAAATGATAGAATTTTGTTCTTTTTTATGGCTGAATAATATTCCACTGTGATGGCTTTCTTTTGGGGGGCAGTATTGGAGTTTGAACTCAGGGCCTTGCACTTGCTTGGAAAGTGCTCTACTTCACTTGAGACATCCTCCAACCCCATAATGGCTTCTTCTTTTTTTTTTTTTTTTTTAAGTACTGGAGCTTGAATTCAGGGCCTTCACCTTGAGCCACTCCACCAGCCCAGTTTTTTGTGATAGGGTTTTTTGAGAAGGGTCTCGGGAACTATTTGCCTGGGCTGGCTTTGAACTGCGAATCCTCCTGCTCTCTGCTTCCTGAGTAGCTGGGATTACAGCTGTGAGCCACTGGCGCGCCTGGCTACATAATGGCTTCTTTCTTTCTTTCTTTCTTTCTTTCTTTTTATTCATATGTGCATACAATGTTTGGGTCATTTCTCCCCCTCCCCGTCCCCTCCCTTACCCCCCCTGCCCCTCCCTCTCCCCACATAATGGCTTCTTGATGTCAGCACAGCTTTCCTCTTACTTGTTGCTCTCCTGTTGTCCCTTGTCCCATGATGGATGCCTATCTCTCTTGTCCTTGCTCCTAGCACTCTTCCCAGCCTGCCTGGCCTGAAACAGACCTTCTGTCAAGGTGACCTCTCAGCCCCAGCCTCCTTAGTTGTGGGCAGGTGTCAGCCCTTGGGTCCCCTTGGCACTTTGTGTGTGTGTGTGTGTGTGTGTGTGTGTGTGTATATGTGTTACTGGGGTTTGAACTCAGGTCTCCTACTTGCTAGACAGGCATTCTACCTCTTGAGCCACTCCACCAGACCTTTTTGCATTGGTTATTTTTGAGATAGGGTCTCGCTTTATATTCAGCCTAGCCTGGCCCATGATCCTCCTAGCTCCCCATCCCCTAGGATGCCAGGCACACACCACCATACAACTGCCTTTATGTTTTGGCAGACCTCACCCCGAGGGACTCTCAGGGGCCAGGGGGCTTGGATGCCAGGTGTTACCCAAAGAGCCATGGGGACGGTGATATGAACAGTGAGGCCCCCAGTAAGTTCTGATGGGAGGGCAGGCACCTGTGGTTCACCCCTGTAATCCTAGCTACTGAGGAGGGAAAGATCAGGAGAATCATGGTTCAAAGCCAGCCCAAAGATCCCATCTCCACAATAACCATAGCAAAATGGACTTGTTGGTGTGACTCAGCAGTAGAGTGCCTGCTTTGAAAGCACAGGCCCTGAGTTCAAGACCTCAAAAAAAAAAAAAAAAAAAACAAGGAGAACCAGGGCAGGGGGTGGGAACATAGAGTCTCCCTTTGCCGATTTGGGAGTCCCTCCAGAATGTGGGTATTTATTTTGTTTTTTTGTTTTGTTTTTTTGGTGCTGGGATGGAACCCAGAGCCTCACACATGCCAGGCAAGTGCTCTACCACTGAGCTACACCCCAGCCCTGGTCCCCAGCTTCTTCCTGTCCCACTTGTGTCTCAGATTCAAAGGTCAGACATGAATCAGTGCAAAGCCGCAGGCCTGGGCTAGACAGCGTCCAGACGCCTGTCTGCCGGGCTGCTCCCTTCCCCTGGCCAGGCACTTGGTCACCATCATCCTGTGCTGGTCACTCACAGAGCAGGCTCCTGGGAATCATGGGCACTCTAGGGCTTCCTACCAAGCCCTGGTGCTATGGAAGGGGAAGGTGAGGCCAGAGACAGGGAGAGGAGCAACCTGGCCTGGCCTCTGAGCCGCTCTTCCCTGCCCTCTGTAGAAAAGCACCCTCATGAAGCTCGCTAACATCCGGGCCGCAGAGAAGGTGGAGGAGAAGAGCTTCGGCAGCTCGCACGTCATGCAGGTCATATACACGGATGACGCCGGCCGGCCCCAGACCGCCTACCTGCAGTGCAAGGTGTGCGGAGGGGCGGGGCGCCCCGGGGGAGCTGTGGTCACAGCGAGTCTTCCGCCCCCTGCCGGCCACACCAGGCATAGCAGCGTATGTGTGCGTGTTGTCGGGGAATCTGTGTGCCTGGGAGCCATGGCCTATGTGTCTGTGGCCACCCGTGGTAGGTGCATTTGTGCCTTGGTGCTTAAATAGGCACATCTCTGTGATTGAGCCTTGCATGTTGCATCCATTTTTTTGGGGGTGGGGTGGGGCTGGGGTTTGAACTCAGGGCTTTGTGCTTGCAAAGCAGGAGCCACACCTCCCGTCCATTTTGCTCTGGCTGTTTTGGAGATGGGATCTCAAGAGATTATTTGCCAGGGCTGGCCTCAAACCTTGATCCTCCCAATCTCAGCCTGCCAAATAGCTCGGATTACAAGCTAGGATTACTGGTGGATGAGCCACCAGTGCCCAGCCACGTTGTATCCATTTGTGGGAATTGTGTTTCCGAATAGCTGCACGGGTGTTTGTGTTACAGGGCCTGAGTGTGGTTCTGGGCTTGTACTCCCAGATACCTTTCTCATCTGTGCATGTGCTTAACTCATTCATTCATTTAAAAATAGATAACGGGGATGGCTGCAGAGGCTCATGCCTGTAATCCCAGTTACTTGGGAGGCAGAGATTGCGAGGATCACAGTTTGAGGCCAGCCTAGGCAAAAAACTATTGAGACCCCATTAGAAAAATAACTAAATCAGAAAGGGTAGGGGGCATGCTTAAGAGGTTGAGTGCTTGCCTAGCAAGCATGAGGCCCTGAGTTCAAACCCCAGTGGTCGACCCCCCCCCCAAAAAAAAAAAAAGAAAGTGGGAAGAGCAGGTCCAGCACATATAGCTGGCAGGTCCTGGAAGACCCCAGGGCATGGCTGAGGTGCAGCCGAAGGTTGGCTGTCCACGCCGTGCTCCCAGCCTGGCCTGGGTCCCCTCCCTGGAGAGAAAGGGCAGCCTTTCCTAACTCAGCTGAAGCTGTTGAGCGCACAGGTAGGGACCATGGCATCCAGAGAGGGAGGACTTCCTGCAGGGGGTGACTTGAGGACACATGTCCCCGCAGTGTGTGAATGACCTGAACCAATGGCTGTCTGCCCTTCGCAAAGTGAGCATCAACAACGCTGGCCTGCTGGGCTCCTACCACCCTGGCGTCTTCAGCGGGAACAAGTGGAGCTGCTGTCACCAGAGGGATAAGACAGGTGGGAGCAGAGCCCTGGGCCCCTGTGCTGCATCTGTTCACAGCAGGCTGCTGTCCCCAGCTGGGAGAGACCCTGAGCCCTGCCTTCCCAGCCTGACTAGACACAAAAGGGTCTGTGACCAGGTGGTTTGGGAACTGCCTCATGATGTGTGTGACACACACAACTAATACATTGAAGTCTCTGAGGAGGCCTGGAAACTCATAAGAATTCTATTTCTGGGGCTGGCGGAGTGGCTCAAGTGGTGGGGTACCTGCATAGCAAGCATGAAGTCCTGAGTTCGAACCCCAGTACCACCAAAAAAAAAAAAAAAAAAAAAGAATTCTGCTTCTAAACCCATTTAACCTGGCACTTCTCAAACTCATTTGAAAGGGAACCCTTCTCTCACAGAGAAGCTTCTTGTAGAACCGTTGTTCGGAAAAACACACTTGAGGCCAAAGAAATGAACCCAAGTTTGCAGCCTGATGCCAGAGCTACAGGCTGGATGGACCCTGGGCCTTGGGCACTAGAGGGGTGGCAGAAAGGAGCCTCTAGATCTCCCAGTGATGATGGAGGTGTTACACATCCACATGGTGCAGTATTCCTGCCACCAGCACGTGTCTGATACAGCCAGGTGTGGTGGTGCATACCTATAATCCCAGCACTCGGGAGGTAGAAGCAGGAGGATGGAAAGGTCAAGGCCAAATGTCACAGTTGGGTGCCAGTGGCTCATGCCTGTCATCCCAGCTACTCAGGAGGCAGAGATCAGTAGGATCCTGGTTCAAAGCCAGCCTGGACAAATAGTTCGCAAGACCCTATCTCCAAAAAACCCATCACAAAAAAGGGCTGGTGGAGTGGCTCAAGGTGTAGGCCCTGAGTTCAAACCCTAGTACTGAAAAAAAAAAGTCACAATGAACTCCCTAGTAACAACTAATATATGCTAGTAAGGATTTTTTTTTTTTTTTTGGAAAAGACTATTTTTTTTTATTAGCCTCTGAAAATATCTAGTACAAATACAATGAGAAACATTATTCCAAGCATAACAGTCTATTCCCAAATAGAATATTCCCTATAAAAATCAGCCTTACGACATAAAAAATCTGAAAAATAAAAAAACAGAAAATACTGAGAAGTGTATGACCAACATTATTTATATATAGCTATCCCTAAAAGTATGCGTCTTTTATGCTAACAAACTCTATTTACAAAATATGCTTACATTGTATTTTAAAAGACGTGTATCAAATGTAAGTAAATCATTATAGTAGTTTTATAAAAAGATTATACCCTTTGAAACATCTTTTGTCACTATTAAAAAAAATAAAAGGCAATAAAGTGTCGCTGCCGTGACACAGCAGGTGATCTTAAGGGAAGAAGCATATCTCACTAGAGTTTCCACAAGTTCCTCCTCCCTCTAACTGCAGCTCTGGTGGCAAAGGAGGAGCCCCAGGGTCCCCAGGTCTAGGAAGTGTAGTTGAAGAGAAGTTGGTATTTTCAGTTCTGCCTACTTCCAGGACAGGCAAATTCAAAGAAGAATCAGTAGAAAAAGGATTTTTTTTTTTTAATAAAAAGGAAGTCCAAACAGCCCACTGCATAGTAAGACCCTGTCTCAAAGGGGAAAGGCTGGCAGGGCAGGGAGCGGGGAAAGCCTACTGCAGCTGAGAAACTGGGTTTTAGTTTTTTAAATTTTATTCAATTTTAATTAAATAGCCTCATGTGACCAGAGGCTACCCCACTGAACAGCACAGTTCTGGAATTTTCCGCATCATCCTCACCCGCCTTGCAGAGTAAACTTGGCACCTGGAGTCCCCTGGCCTCCAGGCTAGGCCAAGCCTCAGTCCCCAGAGCCCAGCATGGTAAAGGCCATGGAGCCTCTGGCTGTGACCATCATACTGACATCTCATCATTGGTGAAGCAGGATCCAGTGACCCAAGAGGCAGGGTCTGATATCCCACTTTATGGGGGAGAAACTGAGGTTTAAGAGATAGCAGGTGACTCAGCCAGGTCACAAAGCCAGAAAATGGCACGAAACTCAATGGCTCGCCTGGTAGGCACCAGCTTTCCAGAGACATACCCAGCTACCCCAGCTGTGTATGATGCCCATGCGCCAGGTCACTCATCCTGTGGTCCAGCTGAAGCCAAGATAAACTGCCGGCCCTGTGAGGCTGGGGGAGCCATGGGCAGGACCTGGGCCAACTTCTCAGGCCCTGGGGGCCCCTGGGTCCCTCTCCAGGCCTCAGTCTCCCCATGTGCTCTACCAGGCAGGTGGGCTTGTGGTCCTCTGGTAACTCTACCGTCGTCTCTCTGCTGCCAGATGGGGGCTGTGATAAGACGCGGTCTCGGGTCACCCTGCAGGAGTGGAATGACCCTCTCGACCATGACCTTGAGGCTCAGCTCATCTATCGGCACCTGCTGGGCGTGGAGGCCACGCTGCGGTGAGGAGGCCCAAGCTGGGACAGTGAGGCCAGCACAGGAGAACTGTGCAGCCCTGGGAACCTGCCAGGCCAGGGACTGGAGCTGGGATTCAGGCTAGAGGTTGCTAGGTTGTAGCTGGTTACCTCTCTCTTCCTCCCTCTCCTTCACCTCTCCCTCCTCCTTCTTCCTCCTCTTCCTCTTCTTCCTCTTCTTTTTTTTTTTGCTGGTACTGGGGTTTGAACTCAGGGCCTCATGCTTGCTAGGCAGGCACTCTACCACTTGTGCCACTCTGCCAGTCCTTTTTTGTGTTGGGTATTTTCAAGATACAGTCTCTTGAACTATTTGCTGGGGTTGACTTTGAACCTCGATCCTCCTGATCTCTGCCTCCTGAGTAGCTAGGATTATAGGCATGAGCCACCATTCCCAGCCCCATTATATCCTCACTTTAAATTTCCCTCCAACCATCCCTCCTGGATGGTAGAACCTTTGGGAAAGTCATCTCTACTGTGCCCCGATGTCCCCTCTTGCACACTCTTTCCAACACATCTGGTCAGCTCTGTCCCACCTCTCTGCCCAAGCTGTTCCTATCAGTGACTCCATGTAGCCAAATCCAAGGGCTGTGTTTCCATCATCACACTCTTGCCCGTCCATAGTTCCTAGCACAGTGGGCGGCTGCTCCTCCTCCCTCTGTTTTTTCCCCTCCTCCCCCTCCAGACTTTAGGGAAGGGGCACATCCCTCCCAGAATACACCCTGAAGAGGATCAGAAGGGCTGAGCTGGGTGACTGCCTGAATAAGGGAAACATCCAGAAAACCAGACCTGGAAGGGCCTACTGAGTGAACCCTACTGAGAACTGTGCTTGAAATATCAATGTCAGCCAGTTGTGACTGGCACTTGGGAGACTGAGGCAGGAAAATTGCTAGTGCCAGGCCAGCCCGACACCCTCTCTCAAAAACAAACAAAGCTGAGTGCCGGTGGTTCACCCCTGTAATTCCAGCTACTCAGGAGGCAGAGATCAGGAGGATCAAGGTTCAAAGGCAGCTCAGGCAAATAGTTCATGAGACCCTATCTCGAAAATACCCAACACAAAAAAGAGCTGGTGGAGTGGCTCAAGGGGTAGGCCTTGAGTTCAGATTCCAGTACTGAAATGCATTGTATGATGCTAGCGGACTGTTGGGCGCCAGGTGGCCCTGCAAAACCAGAGCGACTGGTTCAGTTTGGTTTGCAAAGGGCCTCTGGTTGACCCACCTGGGAGGTGGGGGTACAGGAGTGGCTGGAAGAAGGAAGGTGGAAGGTGACCAGCAGCCAACAGCTGGACCCCTATTTCTTCCTCATAGAATGAGGGGACAAGGGCCACCTCTAGCTCAGGAGGCCCCCCCCACAGGGTCACCTGGCCTCTCCAGCATGGCAGGTTCTGTCCACTGGTCCCTCACTCTGTCCTGCCCCACAGGGAGAAGTACAGTGAGGTGAGCAGGAACACGGAGGAGGCAGGCCCTGTGCCCTTGGGCCCTGGTGAAGGTAGGTTCCTCCCATGGGACTTGCTTGGTGGCTCAAGCCAGCTGGAACAGATGAGGCTTTCCAACTTCGAGGCCCCACCTGTTACCCTCACAGTGCATTTGCTTTCAGCACCCGAGGACCCCCTGGCCCAGCTGTTCCTCGTGTTGAAGGACCTGCAGGAGGCCCACAGCTCCAGCCCAGCTGGCCCGCCACCCTCAGAGTCCTGCCACCTCCTACAGCTGCAGACGTGAGGTCTGCACCCAGACCCCTGCCAGTGGCTCAGCGACACCCTGTGCATTCTGGGTCCTGGCCCTGTGACCATCAGAGGGGGGCAGGCCTAGAGCTCTCCTGGACAGGGTTTTGGCCCATCCTCACCCATCTGACATCTGTGGAGGGCTTAGGTGGCACCCATTTTTCTGGCTGCTCTCTGTGGTCCCCACAACCCAGAGTTTCCACCTAGGCCAGACCTAGCCATGTTCACCCCTAGGAAGGTCGGGACTCAGGAGACCAGACTTCCATCTCTCTCCCCTTCACTCCTGGCCTGTACCCTGTCGCTTCCCTCAAACCACTGCCTGGCCCCCCTGGGAAGTATACGGTGCTCTATCACTGACAATAAACCTGCTGTGACTGCCAAGGCTCTGGGGTCTTGGGATGGGGGCCCAGGGAGAGAGAAAGAGCCCAAGAGACCCCAGTGGCTGCTGGGGGGTGTGGCCAAGGACTGGGGCCACTAGCATAACTTCTGTATATCTCCACACAACCCTCCCCCCATCTGGAGCCAGGAACCATTTGTCATCCCAGCTGCTAGGCCCCACTCAAGTCCCACCCTGTCCCAACAGACTGCACAGCAGGGCTGGGTCACAGTGTCCCTTTCCTTCTTCATGCACACGAGTTGGCCCCACCCTGGGCTGAGACTGTGGGCTGGCAGGGTGGGGAGAAGGCCCTGCCCTCCCAGAGCCCACCTGGCCCTGCCCTGGCCACCTCCTTCACTCTCAGTCCCCAGATCTCAAAGGTCCACATTTACCCTAGCCAGTTCCTGGTCCGTGGGGTTTGTCTGATACCAACTTCTCCTCTGCCCCAATCTGGTCCTACTCACCCCAGCTTGAATCTGGTCCAGTTGCCTTATCCTGGGGGCTGAAGGCCCACAAGACAGAGCATTGGCCTTTTGGAAGCTGACCTGTCATTCCTCACTCAGTCCCTTTGAGGCTATACCAGTTTCCTGTCCCAAAGCCACCCACTAAGCTGTGCCCCCACTCTAGAGGAGTGTATCAGTGATGACTGCCCACTGATCACAGCTGGCTGGGTTGGTCCTGGGATGGCTGAAGGAACAGGTGACAGGGGGAAGGGGAGTCTCGTCAGCTCCTGGCTCTGCCTCACAGTGCCCAGGCCACACCTTGTGCTGCACCTGTGGCTGACCTGCTTCTGGCAGCCAGTGGACAGTGGGCAGGACCTCCGAGTCTCTGAGGACAAAGAAGCCCCCAAGTCCTCCAGACAAGACTTAGCCTACCTCCTTTTTCTGGGCTGCCCCCTACTGTGAAGCCAGCCCTCCAGTCCTCCAGCTCTGTAGCACTGTTCTGAAGTCTCCCCTGCATTGATCACTTATTCCTGTCTTGGAAACCCATTATCAGTTCCCCCTTCTCTTTTTTTTTTTTTCCTTAAAGCTATCAAGTAAAAGCCATGATCTATCCAAGATCACAAAAGTAGGACATTTAGGGGAGGGGTCTGCTTAGCATTCAAATGGGACTTTAAACCACATTCAGTTTTGAGGTACAGAGAATTGTATGGATTAAAAGAGACTTCAAGGCTGGATGTGGCAGTGCACACCTGTAATCCCAGCTGCTCAGGAGGCAGAGACAGGAAGATCACAGTTTGAGTCTGGCCTGGGCAAAGTTAGGGAGACCCTGTATCAAAAATGAACCAAAAAATAAAAGCAAAAGGCCTGAGGATGAGGCTCAGGTGGTAGTGGGCTTGTCTAGCAATCAGGAATACTGAGTTCGATCCCCAGTATTGGCGGGGAGAGAGGGTTGAGATTTTGGAACTAGATAGTGGGGATTATTTGCACATTGTTAATATAATTAATGCCCCTGAATAGAGCACATAAAAGTGGTTTAAATGAGCCGGGCGTCAGTGGCTTGCGCCTGTAATCACAGCTACTCAGGAGGCAGAGAGCAGGAGGATCACGGTTCGAAGCCACCCTGGGCAAATAGTTCTTGAGACCCTATCTCAAAAACACCCATCACAAAAAAGAGCTGGTGGAGTGGCTCAAGGTGTAGACCCTGAGTTCAAACCACAAAAAAAAGAAAAAGATTTAAATGGCAAATTTTATGTTACATGTTTCTTACAGCAATCAAAAGTTAAAAATAGGGCTGGAGGTGTGGTTCAAGAGTGCCTGCTTTGCAAGTGTGAAGCCCCGAGTTTAAACTCCAGTCCCACCAAAAAAAATAAATAAATAAAAATAGAGCCAGTGGTGCCACACGCCTGCAATTCCAGCACTCAGGAAGCAGAGGCAGGAGGATCTAGAGTTCAAGGCCAGTCTGGACTGGGTAGCATGACCCTGCCTTAAAAATAATAAGAAAGTTAGGACTCTTGAGACACTTGCAACCAGTTACCGTGAGAAGTGACTTTGGGGTTTGAACTCAGGGCCTCATGCTTAGCTAGGCGATCTACTGTTGGAGCCACTCCAACAGCCCTGTTTTGCATTGGGTATTTTCATGACAGGGGCTCACAAACTATTTACCCACACTGGCTTCAAACCGAGATCCTCCTGATCTCTGCCTCCTGAGTAGCTGGGATTACAGGCGTGAGCCACAGATGTTTGAAAGGTGCAGGTGCCCTAGTCCTCCCAGACTTGCCTGCTGTAAAAACCTTCAGCAGGTGAGTCCCAGGTGTGCATCTAACGTGCATCCCGAGTCTCTCTGTGTTCTGAACATGGAGAGCCTACAACAGAAGGGCTTCGGGCTGTTGGCTTGTGCTGACACCCTTGGTCAAAGCCCGGCCTCCTTAGTCACCACTTCATCTTCATCTGGTGTGCATTTCCAATGTAATTGACATTACCGAAGAGGAACAGGGTTTTCTGGCATTTCCCTAAATTCTGCAACCAAGTTCTGAGCCTGACCCGTGAATCCTAGGCCTAAGACAGCCTCCAGGGCCCAAGTCAGACTTGTGACCTGGCAGACTTGCCACGCTGCATATTTTGCTCTCACAGGGGCCACAGGGAAAGGCAAAGGTGCTTGTAAGAACATCGGGGCTGTCCTCTTCCCTCTACTCTGTGACTTTGGGGGTATGTGGAATTTTTTCTGCTACAGCCTCCATGCCAGGAAGCATCCCCCCACAAGCAGCCACCAACTGCCACCTTGGATGTTTATCACTTTCTGGTGTTGCTGTCAGCATTCTGTGGGCCTCATGAGGTTTTGAGTAGTACCAGGTTTCTTTCCCCCGGCCCAAAGCCTGAGTCCAGGTGTGGAGCCTGCTGCTTCTCCCACCCCAACTCCAAATTACCAACATCTGGATCTCTGGCTAGTTCCTTAGGATCTCAGGTCTTGGGAGGCAGAGATAGGGAGGATCACCATTGGAGGCCAGCTAGGGCAGTGTGTGTGAGGGAAAGTTAACAAGACCCTACAGGCCTGGCACCATGGCTCAAGCCTGTAATCCCAACTACTTGGAAGACAGAGATCAGGAGGATTATGGTTTCAAGCCAGCCAGACAAGAAGTTTGTGAGACTCCATCTCAACCAATGGCTGGGAGCAGTTGTGTGAGCCTGTTATCCCAGCTACACAGGGACTCACAAATAGAGGAGGATCATGATCCAAGCCAGTCCTATCTTAAACATAACCAATGCAAAAAGGGCTGGCAGGCTGGCTCATGTCTAGAACAGGTGCCTAGCAAGTTCAAGACCCAGAGTTCAAATCCCAAAAAAAAATGAGTGTTGAGTGAAGCTGATATGTAACAACATGCTAACACGAAACTAGTTAATGGATCCAGGTGCTGGTGGCTTATGCCTATAATCCCAGCTGCTCAAGAAGCAGAGATCAGGAGGATCACAGTTCCAAGCCAGCCCCAACAAATAGTTCATGAGACCCCCATCTCGAAAAAAACCATCTCAAAAAAGAGCTGGTGGAGTGGCTTAAGGTGTAGGCTGAGAGTTGAGTTCAAACTCCAGTACCACAAAAACAACAACAACAAAAACCTAGTTAATGGAGTTTGCTATGTATTTGGCCCACAAACCTGTGTAGTGTGCCAGCCTCTGCCCTAGATATATAACTGTTGATCAGGCCTGTTCAACGTTTCCAATATGACATTGACAGAAAATGCTAAATGTTCCCCCTTCACCTTATTTGCAAGGCTGCTTAATTTTTTTGTTGTTTTCTGCGGTAGTAGGGATGGAATTTAAGGCCAAGCTTCCTAGGGAAGCTCTACCACTTGTGTCACACCCAATCCTTTTGATTTGCTTTTCAGAGACTCTTGCTGACCTTACCAGGGCTGGCTTCAGACTGAGATCCTCCTCCTATCTCTGCTTCCTGAGTAGCTGGAATTATAGGCACACACCACCACACTCAGCCCTGCATAATTTTTCTTAGCCCTTTCTGCAGCTGCACCTGCAGACCTGTCTCCCTTAGTCTAGGAGAGGATGGGAATGGCCACTTGACCTCTGCTTGTGGCACTCCAACTGTGAGTCACTGAAGACTTTGCAGGTTAGGAATCGTTAACCTCATTGCCTTCTCTTCTTTCCCACTCACTCAGAGGCCCCCAAGTACTTGACTTGGGGAGCCAAGGGCCTGGTGGGGAAACTCACCCACCAGGAGGGACTCAGTGGGAAATGGAAGTGGTTGGCTAAGCTCCAGATTCCCTGAGCGACTCCACCCTATTGCCCAGCCCTGGAGAAACAGCTGCAGAGCTGTTAGGGCTCAGTAGCTTCTCGGGGATCCCTATTCCTATTGCTTCAACAGCCCAACTGGGGCCTTCATACTAAACCTGAAGTTGCAAAATGTGAACCCATCCAACCAGGGTATGATATACCCAAGCGACCCCGCTAACAGGAAGCCCTTGTCAGGCTTACCTGTCCACATCCCTCCCACCAGGACATCTCCTTTGGTCCCTTGTCCCCCACTGCTGCCAGCCACAAGTGCCTAAGTGCCCACTTCAAGGACGTATTTGTAAGTTGCGATCAAGGGGTATGAGGAGCTGGGTGGCGGGAGAGCATAGCTCACGTTGCCTTTTGGTCTTGGTGGAGGCAGAGCATCCCACTCATGTTTCGAGCATGCGCCAAAGAGCAATTCGACAATGCAGGGCACTTCCGGATGACGCATGCGCAGTGGCCGTGGCCTCCCTCGGCTTGCCTGCGCCTGCGCCAGTTCCTCCAGTCCGACAGGGGGCGATGACCAGGTCCGTACGCCGCTCCGCAGCAGCCGCTTAACCCGGAAGTGGTCGCGTTTTTATTGGTGCTGCGACTTCGAGTCTGGACGCGCCTGCGGCGTTAGGATGAACGCCCCTCCGGCCTTCGAGTCGTTCTTGCTCTTCGAGGGTGAGAAAAAGTAAGTGGAGCTGGCGTGGGCGGGTTTCGCGGGCCCCTGCCCTTCGGCCATGAGTTCCTGCAGAGTCTGGGGCTTCTGACCCGGGAGGCCGAGGCCGCTTTGCTGGAGCGTCCGCTCGGCTGCGTCTGCCAAACCTAAGGCAGTGTTGCCAGGCACTGGCGCTCGCACCTGTTTTGCAGATAGAATGAAAACGGAGGAACTTGCACCAGTCTTGTAGGAAGTTCCGGGGCTTGTATTCGAACCCGGAATATCTGCCTCCAAAGGCCCTTTTCCTCTGGGACCTGGCATCCTCATTCGTAACCCGTCCGTGCGGGGCACAGCTCTGAAGCGAGTATCCTGCTGAGCACTGAGGCTGAAGGCCTTCGAGTTCCACGCCAGCCTGGGCTGCACAGCGAGACCTCGTCTCAAAAAAAAAAAAAAAAAAGGGCTTCGAGGGCTCACACCTCTAATCTTCGCTACTTGTGAGGCTGAGATGGGGAGGATCAAGGTTCCAGGCTAGCCTGGGCAAAAAGCGAGACTCTTATTCCCAAAAGGTAGCCACAGCATAGAGGTTGGGAGGCGGGACTCAAGTGGTAGAGCGTCTGCTAAGCAAGATGGAAATCCTGAATTCCAACCCCAGTATTGCCTACGCCCTCAAATGGGAGGGCTGGGGTCAGTGGCAGAGCACTTGCCTGGCATGCATGAGCTCCTGGGTTCCATCCCTAGCACCGGGGTGGGGGGGGAAGCCATGAGGTTATTTGTGTGAAGTGCACATTGTAACAGTTTTGTTCCAGGGCTGCGGTCTGGACCATTAGCTCACAGGGTGGGGACTTTGCAAACGTTTCTAGTTACCTGAAGGGGTTTGCAGCTCCCTTGTAGTGGCTCTCCGCGGAACGCAAACGCCACGCCAGGGACGCCGTTAATGTCTGTCCCCACCACAGACAAGAACGATCTGGCATCAGGGTTGAGAAACACTGCTTTAGGAGTGATCCAGAGTAGGCAAGGGTTCCAGGTGAGATCTGGTGTAGACACTGCACTGTCATGAGTCACGTGTTTTCTTTTTCTTTTTGCAGTGCTGGGGATTGAACGCAGGGCTTCATGTGCTCTACCACTTGAGGGACGCCCCCAGCTCTTCTGTATTTTGCTTTGAGACATGGTGGTTACATTTGGAAGGCAGGGTTGACTTGGGGTCTCTGCCTTCAATTGCTGTCTCTGCCTCTTCCCAGGATCACCATTAACAAGGACACCAAGGTACCCAATGCCTGTTTGTTCACCATCAACAAAGAAGACCACACTTTGGGAAACATCATCAAGTCGTAAGTTCCTGGCCAAGGGCTCTTGGGCTAGAGACAAGCAGAAGTCCCTCCAGATTTTTTTCCATCATTGAGCTACTGGAAGTCCTCTGTGTTTATCTGATTGAAATGAATGTGCAGCAAACCCCCAAAAAGCAGGCACACTTATGTTCTCAATGCTAATAAGCACTGAGAGGAGTGGATAGGGTTAGCTCCGCCTGCCCCATGCCTGCTTCTGATAGAGATGTCAGACACCTGGTCCAATGCTCTGAGGGGTGCAAGGCACCCCTGGTGGATATCTGACATTGACTTGTCATACCAGGGAAATCCCAGTTCGGTAGTAGTCAGGGACACAATTGTCACTTAACATAAGGACTTGTCATTCTGCTGCACAGTGCTGAGGTTCTCTCCGGGGGAGGGGAAAGGCAACAAGGCCGCGTGCAGCAGGACCCCATGTCTTGGTACATATGGTATGGGGTGGCCCTTCTGTCTCCTAGCTAAATGCCTGAGTAGTGCAGTGGGGGCACCCAGCTCTTCCATGGCGCGCTGTTCACATTTGACTATGAGCCACCCTGGAACCCTGCACGTGTCCAGGGCACAGAGTGTCGTTTAGGTTTCAACTTCCCTGTGGCCTCATGGAGAAGGGCCTGGTGTGCACTGAGCCCGGCTTCCCTCCTTCTGCTGCCTGGTTGTTGTGCCCATGCTTTGTAACAGGGCCTTATGTTCTGGCTCACAGAACTCTGGTTGAATGTTTCTGGCCAGGGTTGGGGAGGTCTGTGGTCTTCGCAGGCACAGGATATGTGTATTGGGGTACACATGGGGGATCTTGTTTTTCTTGTGGACTTTTGGGAAGTCGGGAGAACTACACGCTTGCAGGCTCAGCCTCCCTCACACTGTTTGTGCCTGTCTTACAGACAGCTCCTCAAAGACCCGCAGGTGCTGTTTGCTGGCTACAAAGTCCCCCACCCCTTAGAGCACAAGATCATCATCCGCGTACAGACCACCCCGGACTACAGCCCGCAGGAGGCCTTCACCAATGCCATCACCGACCTCATCAGTGAGCTCTCCCTGCTGGAGGAGCGCTTCCGGGTGAGAAGCTGGCTCCAGCTGTACAGGGGTCGGGTGGGTCAGAGGCTGGCCTGTGTCTACACAGCCTGTTTCTCAGAGGTACTTGGGGTGGTGGTGATATAGAGTAGGGACTTCCACCACCCTGAGGGAATTGTGGCAGAGGGCCTGCCATTTGCCCTGCAGGTGGGAACCTCACCTACTTTTTTGTGAACCTAGGGGGAATCTATTGCCCAAGTCTTCTACAGCTGGCTGTGCCGCTCCCTGGAGTATGGGGAACCTGGGTTGCTAACCTGCTTGGTCCTGTTGTGCACTGCATAGCCTATGTCCACATGGGGGGGGCGGGAAGCTGTTTCTAATCCTGCTGAGTGGCTTCCTCCCGCCAGGTGGCCATCAAAGACAAGCAGGAAGGGATCGAATAACCACTGGAAGGAGTTGTGCCCATCTGCCCTGGACTCTTCTTGGGCATCACGTGGAGGACAGCGGCCAGTCCGACACTGACGTGTCCTGTATATAGACTGTTTTGTCTTCCTCATACAGCCAGTGAATTGTCAGGCTTGATAAAAGGCAGGTGAGCTGTGTGGCAGACACCCCAGGGCCAGATGGGGACTGCTGGTCTTGGGCAGAAGGGAGGGAGGGAAACCTGTGCAAGACCATAGATCTCTGTTCTAGAAGCCTTAGCTGCCTGGCTGATCTGATAGGAACCCAGGATGAGGCTCATGTAATGTAATGTGCACAGCAGAAAATTTAATAAAAATACTCACTTTAAAAAAGACCACCACCATTAACCCTGAGCTGAATAAGTTAAGTTGTGTTCCCAGCACAGTGCTGTAGAGGCAGGAGTACCTGCCTGAGCTAACATCTCTTCCAGATGGCTACGACGTTGGAGTCTGTCAGAGCCGTGAGGTAAGTAAAAGCAGCGTTGGCTACCACTGTGTTCACCATGGTCTTGGTCACCGTTTGGCCAAGGGCCTTGGGCTGGGGCCATTTAAGGATCTGTAGGGAGATAGAGGGGGCTGGGCTCCTGTTCCCCAATGCCAGGCCACACCCACTGTACAGCCTTGGCCTGGGGAAGAGTGATCTGTAGGTACCTGTGTGGGAGCCTGGGGGGCAGCTGCTAATGGAGGTGGCTGCTTCAGGATGGGCCTAATGTCGTAGATCCACACATTGCCCTCCTCGTCTCCACACAGCACAAGCCCTTCCTCTGTCAAGACAGATGGGAGCCTAAGGTGGGGCAGGTGGGACCCCCAAGGGGTAGAGGGTGGGTGAGGCCAGTGTGCTCACCAGGGCAGGCACTGAGGGAGAAGTATGCCAACTCGGTGAGTGACCACTGCAGGCGTGCCAGTATAACCACGTGCACTTGGGACTGACTGCCCCGGGCCCTCCACGTCTGGCTCCAGCTCCACAGGCAGATGGTGCCTGGGCTGCTCCCCTTGGAGGCTGTGGGCAGAAGAAACTTGTGATAGCCGGCTTAGGCCCATCTTCCTTCTCCCCACTGGAGATGCCCCAGCCTAGGGATAAGTGACCCCCAGAGCCCCAGAGGCTGGGCTGTCCCAAGGGCTCACTCACCCACAACATCCTCATTCACAAATGCCAGCCCATCCACTCTGCGCCCAGATGTCTCAGTGCCATCAGGGAAGGTGAACTCCACCTCACATGTTCTGCCAGGCAGAAGACATTGTGTGTAAGCACTCCTTACACATCCAGAGCTGTTCAGCCCCTGCACTGTGTCCACATCCTGGGTGGAAGTCAGGGAGTGCCACCAAAAGCTGCATTTTTGGTCATGAAGAGGTTCTGTCTTGCTCTGAGGGGAGCAGGTCTTCTGGGATGGTTGGTGGCCAGTCCTTGCTGCTGTGAGAGGAGCAGGAAGGCCCCAGGCAGCCCACCAGAGCAGGGACAGAGGCTGCTAAGAGTGTCACACTTGTGCTTGCCCAGTGTTAGGAGAGGCCAGCCTGCAGCCACAGAGGTAGCCTAGAATAAAACTAGGGAAAAGGGTTTGTGGACACGTAGACCTGGAAGGGAAAAGGAGGCAGCACAGGGCTGGCCTCTGCAACACACCCCCTTCCAGGAGGCTTTCCCTGCTGAAAGTGGCTACTTCCAACACCCCAAACTCCTTCCTACACTGGTTCTCATGCTAGAACATTAGAACAAAACGAAGAATCCACAAAGCCCCGCATGTCCTCGCTCGGCAGCCTGGTCCCTCAGTCCAGCCACTTCCACCTGCTTTGCTGAGCTGTGGCCAAATAGCCCTGGGCAGCTGCCTTTGCTGCACTGCTCCCTGCAGCCCCCATTCCTGAAGCCCTCCAGGGCACCAGAGCACCTGTCTGCCACCATCACCTCAGCAGAGAACTCGACCTCCTGTGCAGAGAGCTCCACGTTACATTTTCTCTCTTTGCAGCTGATACCGCCCTTGGGGTTGTCTTAGCTGGCCACCTGTTTAATGCCTGTCCTCACTAGGCTGTGCCCCATGAGTGCTGGGACCCCATTCTGAGCACCGACTTAGGGGCTTTTCAGGTACAGACGAGTCACAAAAGCCTCAACATGGCTTTTCCAGAGCCACCTTCCTGCCTAGACATGTTTCCTGCCCTCCACTTGCCCTAGAATGCATCTTTATCTCCCCTGTGGGTTTTTTTTGGCAGTATTGGAGTATGAATTCAGGGCCTCATGCTTGCTAGGCGGGAGATCCACCACTTAAGCCCTTTATCATCTTTCAGGTAGGGGCTGAAGCTTTGTGCGCAGGATGGGCTCAAACTACAACTCTGATTGTGTCTGCTGGGTAACTGGGATCACAGGCCTGAGCTCCCTCCATCCCCTTTTATTCCCCTCCAGATAAGCCTTGCAGACTAACATTATGCTAAGGTCACACAGCTGAGTACACAGTCGGGCATGAGATGGTGAAGCCCCAAGTTCAAGGTCAGATAGAGGCCCCCAAAGCTGTCTAGTCAGGGTTGCAGGAGCCTATGTGGACCTGTGGCACACAGCTCTGAGGCTTGGCTTTTTAGGCATTCCCACCCCACCTTACCTCCTTTTCTGGGCCTGGTCCAGCCGCACATCCCAGCAGCAGCAGCCGCCCTCACAGCCAGCCAGCAGATAGGTATCTGGGTAGGAGGCAACAGGGCAGAGGCGCAGGGGGATGGAGGTGGAATCCAGCGTGAGTAACTGGCTGCCAGCAAATGAGGGAGAGCAAGTGTGAGCCCTGGGACCCAGGTGGCTGCCCATGCAAGCAGTCAGCCCCGCTCAGAGGTGGCTGCCCACAGCCTCACCTGGCCTGGAATTCATAGTCGTGGTTGGGCATCCCAATGTCCCAGAGGATGACCCGCTTGTCATAAGAGGCAGCTGAGGAGGGACGGGGAAGGAGAGAATTGGCCCTAAGGAGGCCCTGCTCTCTTGTGCAGGGTGCACCCCAGGCTGAGACTTGCCCCCAGGCCAGCCCCTTGAAAGCAGGGCGGGCAGGGCTAGGAGGGGACTTGTGGGCTTACAACCCTAGCATTGTGCTTGAACCCGGCTTGCCACCCAGTGGCCATATTTTATAGCTCAGTTACCACCTCTGCTGGGTGCCACACCTGGAGAGCCAGGTATATATATCCACTCACGTTGCTGATGGGAGTGTGTCCCGGGTGGCTGGGAAACTCCAAGTTCACTGAACATGCTGGGGATAAAGCTGGGGTCTTACACCCAGTCAGATGCCCGTGAAGCTGTGTCACTTCTTCCCGTGGCCACCTGAGTGCCCTACCATCTCAGGGAGGTGACACTGAGGCTGCCCCAGGGTGAGGGGACAGAGTCTTACTAAAGAGGTGGGTCTCATGAGTGGGGCTGAAGCACAGGGTGGCGATGGCCTTCTTGTGGGCCCGGATGACCCCGCAGCAGAAGCCGGCACGCACGTGTAGCAGCCGGACCAGGCCCCGCAGGCCTGCAGCTGCCAGCACGCTCCAGCGCTTCTTGTGGCCTGCCTGGGTGACCACCGTTAGGGCTGTCCAGGCCACCGAGAAGAACTCCTGGAGGGGGCATGGGGGAAGAAGTCAGAAGTGGGGGTATGTTTATGAATCTGCCTGCAGGTCCGGGCTTGGGGGAAGTGAGGCCCAGAATGATAGACAAGGTCACAGGAGGGATGCAGGTGTGGCTCGGTGTGTAGAGCCTGGCATGCGCAAGGCGCTGGGGTCCACCCCAGTACACAAAAAATGGTCATGGGGCATAAGCTGCTGACTCTGGACGTCCAATCTCAGAGCTCCTGTCCCAGGAGTCAGCAGTCTGCAAGGGCAGGGCCTGGCACTCACCTCGCCTGGCGCCTTGTATTTGTGGAGTACGATGCCCGTCTGGCAGTCTATCACACAAACGGCCTCCCCACCACATGTGGCCACTGTCTGGGATGTGGCCCCTGAGTGCCCTGTTTTGTGGGATCAGCCGAGTCAAAATCTTTTCTAGAAAGTTAATCTCTGTCCCCTGCTACCTGCTCTATGTAGTATACCCTGCACCCCTCCTGAGAGCCCTGCTGGGGCCTGGCCTCCCTGCACCCCCACTGCCCCAGGACGCACCCTCCTCCCAGGCTGGCTCAAAGGCGCAGGCCCACAGCTGGGTCTCCAGGTCTCGGGGGCTGTTGTTCCTGCTGTGGCACTGCAGGAAGTGCAGGGGCTCCAGCTGCAGGGCAGGCTGTGGGAGCACAGGAGGTCACGGCTGTGCCAGGCCCTACTCCCCCCACTCTCCCTGCCACCTCCCTTGCTTACCTGGCCATTGTCAGGGCCCACATGGTCGCCGCCCTCCATCTGGGCTGATGAGGAGCTGCGCACTCGCTTGGTCGAAGAGGGGTTGAGCGGGACATCCTCTGCCCGTTTCGAGGCCATCAGCCTGGTCTGTGGAGAGGGTCTGGTGACTACATGGCCTCTTGCCCAGGGCTCCCTGATCACAGCTGAACTGCAACTTCCCACCCCACGGTGCTGTTGGGAGATGGGCTCCAGTCACAGGAAGTTAGGACATTGTGGGGGTGTGGGGGGAGGATTTTGTCTATCCTCCTTAGGTGCGAGGAGGTGAAAAAGATCTCCTTTGCCATGTGTGCCCACCTCGATGGACTGCCTCCCTTGCCACAGGCCCAAAACAATGGAGCCAAGTGACCATTGCACTGAAACTGTGAACCAAAGTAAACCTTTCTTCCTTTTAAATTGATTACCTCATGTACTTTGCCACAGTGAGGGAAAGCTAACACGCTGGGCATAGACAACTATCTCTTGGACTGGTGCTGTGGACCCCTGGCTTTCCCAAGCAGGCCCTGGGCACCCCATGGAACCACTCACCCTGGACTTGCAGGCAGCTGTGGCTTGTGATGACCTCTTTGTGACGTGCGCCTCGTGCACCTGGGTCCCACCAGAGGCGACCAGCGCCTCAGAGATCATCTGCACCTGGGTGGGGCTAGGCCTTCAGTAAGCTGGGCATGGTCCTGGGTGCTCCTAGTCTCACCCCAGACACCGGGCCAGAGGGAGCTTGTCTCTCTCAAGTTGAGAAAGGACCTCCTTCCCTGACCCACCCAACTTCCCACAGTGCCCCGGCCCATCATGGCCACAGACCTCCAGGGCAGCTGAGAACCATGGAACCAATTCACCAAAGGGTGAGGACATACCCGCCATTGGGTGAACTCGCTGAGGGATTCGGGTCCATAGCGCACATCCCTGACGGCAGACTTCACAAAGTCTGTCTGCACTTTCTCAGTCTCCTCTTCAGGGCCCAGGGCAGTCATAAACTTCTCCCAGTATGCTCTGACCTTGTCCAAGAGAGATCGAATTCAGGCCCAGCCCATCCCAGCTCTCCTAGCCCTACTCTGCCCCTCATCTGCCCCTCATCCCTGCTATAGGTGAGTTAACTGTACCACCTTTCCCTGCCACTCTCCTCAACGTCCTTCAATATCCACTTCTGCCACTCCCTGCTCGAAGCTCCCTACTGTTGGCAAGCACAGGTCAATCAACTTTAGGTTGCCCTTACCCTGCTGGTCAGCTCTCGGTTCAGGTTCTCTACCTGAGAGCAGGTGGCGGATGCATCCTTGCCATTGACCTTACGCAGCTTGGGCAGGAGAAAGGAGACTTTCAGGTTGTCATTGACCTGGGGAGCAAAGTGATAGTGGAGCGTGAGCCCCATGAGGTCCTGGCCTCTGGCAGGTGGCTGGGGTGTGTGGGGGAACCCCACTTACAGTTAGGAAGGGGTTGCCCTCCAGGCTGAGCTCCTCTAGCTGCGGAAACTGGCACAAAGCCGTGACGTCTCCCAGCTGGTTGTTGGCGCAGCGGAGGATGCGCAGGTGCGGCAGACCCAGGTTGGCCGGCAGCGTCTCCAGCTGGTTGTTGGAGAGATCCAGTTCCTGCAGTTGCTTCAGTCGGCCCAGGAGGCTGAGGTCCAGGTGCTCGGAGAGCAGCTTCAGCCCCGACAGGCTGAGGTGGGGACAGAACAGGTCGGCTCAGGGTGGCAGGTAGGCCTCCTACCCCACCCCAATCTGCCCAGGTCACCACAGAAAGGTTTTCAACCTTGTTTCTCGTGCGCGCACAGCCTCCCCTTTTAAAAGACAATCTTGCAACGACTTTGGAACCCAGGGCTGTATGGCCCCTCCCACAAGCATCTACTGGTCCCTGGGGGCTCCTCGGTGTTTCCCTGGCCCTCTAAATAGCCCAGCGGGTGGCTCAATGATCTTTCTGTCCTCCGCAGGGCTGAGGCCACTCAAGATCCACCTGGCACACGGGTGGAGCGGCAAAAGTCCCGCGCATCTCTCCGGCGCGGGAGATTAGATATTCGGCGAGGGCGACAACGGGGTGAGGCAGGGGTTGGGGACGGGTCTCAGCCTTTCTTCCGGCCCACACAGCGACCCCGTGCGCGGCTAGGAGCTACAGGGTCCCCGCATCCCGGACCCAGCCTTGCCCCCTTACTCCAGACTCCGGATCTTCCCCAGCCGGTCGCTCTTGGGTCGCCCGCGCTGCATTAGCAGCCGCGGCGTGAGGGGACCCATGGCCAACCGCTGTGGCCCGGTCGGCGACACGGCGGCCGGTAGAGCCCGCGCGGCCCACAGCCCGCTACTGGCTCCCGCGGCGGACGAGCTCGGGAGGTGGCGCCCCGCGGCAACCGGAAGGAAGCGGAGCCGAGGCCTCGCGCCCAACGCACACTACAACTCCCAGCAGCCCCCGCGCCGTACCTGCGCACTGGCCGCCCGGACGGCGCGATGGCGGCAGCGGCGACCGCAGAGGTCCCCGAGGTTCTGCAGGAGTGTGGCTGCAAAGGCATCCGGACTTGTCTGATCTGCGAGGGGCGGCGCCACTGTGACCCGCCCTGGCAGCTGTCCCCGCAGGTAAAGGGCTGGGAGAGGACCCGCGCCCCGCAAACTCCGTTCTTCATATGGGGAAACTGAGGCCCTGCTTGGCCCTGACACCAAGCAGGATCAAAGCCTGTCAGGGGCGCCACAGGGTGCGGGGGACGAGTCTCTGGTTGTCCGGTCTTCACCGGCGCGAAGGGAAGGATGGGTACAAGGTGCTGAAGACCAGGCCACTGCTTGGTAGAGGCCTGGGGTGGGCGTGTGTGCCCAGGAAGATGGAGGGAGGAGAACTCGCGTTGCAGGTGAGCGGGATGAGGCTGGAGAGGGCCAGGGGTCCTGGGCACAGAGGGCCCGGTGGGTCCGCAGAGCAGGCTGAACTTGTCCTGGAGACTATGGACGTCCCGAAGGATTTTTTTTTTTTTGGAGGGACTGGTGTTTGAACTCAGGGCTTCACACTTGGAAAGCAGGCACTCTACCGCTTGAACCACACCTCCACTCCATTTTGCTGTAGTTGTTTTGGAGATGGGGTCTCCAGAACTATTTGCCGGGCTTGGTCAGGAACCTCAATTCTCCAGATCTAAGCCCCCAAGTAGTAAGGATTACAGGCATGAGCCACTCCACCAACCCTGTTTTTCTTGATGGTACTGGAGATTGAACTCAGGGCCTTAGACTTGTTAGGCACTCACGCTACAACTTGAGCCACTCCTCAGCACCTTTGTGTTTTAGTTTGTTTTTCAGATAGGGTCTTGGGCTTTTTGCTAGAGCCGACCTCACGCTGTGATCCTGCTACCTCCACCTCCAGAGTTGTTGGGATTACAGGCGTGCACCACCCAGGAGTGGTGTCTTGACTTTCTCAGGATAGAGACATGACAGTACCATTAGGCCTCAGGCGTGGTGGCATAGCAGAGAGACTTGGAGGGGGAGTGACTTCATGGCGGGTGAAGCCAGAGGGGCCTGTCCTCCCACAGAGGCAGGAGTGAGGATGAGGAGAGAGGCTGGGGGTGTAGGAGCTGAGTGCCCAGCTCAGAGAGGCGCAGGAGACAGGGAGGGGTGCTGGCGCTGGGCCTCCTGGACCTCTGGGACGAGGGCTCGTGACTTGGATGGGCCTGTTCTGGCTGTGATAGCAGGGTCCTGATCCTTCTGAGAAGGCAGGATACCCTGCACCTGGGAGACCGCAGAAACGCTGGCTTTGGGAAGGTGAGAAGACCATTCCACTGTCATGGCCCATCTGACCTGGCACTCCGGGGCAGAGACTCCTTAAAAGAGGCCTGGTCATCGCTGGGTGCCTGTGGCTCACACCTGTAATCCCAGCTACTCAGGAGGCAGAGATCAGGAGGATCACATTTCGAAGTCAGCCGGGCAAATAGTTCATGAGACCCTGTCTTGAAAAAACCTACCACAAAAAAAGGGCTGGTGGAGTGGCTCAAGGTGTAGGCCTTGAGTTCAAGCTCTGGTACCACAAAAAAAAAAAAGAGGCCTGGGTGGCATGGGATCGCCAGGCCCCTGCCCAGTCCCTAGCTAGGCTACCTGATTGAGGCAGGTTCTGAAAGCCCCACAACAGGAGGTGGTCAGCCAACCACATTGCTCTTGAAGGTGGCACGTCAGGCTGGCCTCTCCCTCTCCGGAGGGCTCAGAGGAGGAGAGGAGCATGGGCGGAGAGGGTGCACCTGTGACTCCTGACAAGTTCTGCCTCCCCACCCCCAGCGGCCAGGACCTTCAGCATTTTTGTCAGACCCCTGGCCTGGCTGCTGTCACACAGGCCCTGTCCTTCCATCTTCTGAGGCTGGGGAAGGGGCCATACCTGTGGTGACATAGGAAATGTGTCTGTTACTGGGCTGTGCATCCTCAGGCTACTTCCTTAACCTTGCTGAGTGCCCTCTATAATGTGGAGAAAGAAAAGGGCCAGAGGCGCGTGCGCACCAGGAAGACCAGCACCGGTTCCAGGACCCTTCTCTCTTTGCAGAAAACACACCGTTTCCTTTACTGCTTGGACACAGGCTGGGCCGTTGGGGCTGAGGACTCTGACTTTGAGGGCTGGGCCTTCCCCTTTCCGGGGGTGACACTGATAGAGGACTTTGTGACCCGGGAGGAAGAGGCCGAGATGGTGCGTCTAATGGACCGGGACCCCTGGAAGCTGTCCCAGTCTGGGCGGAGGAAGCAGGTACGGTGCTCCAAGCTGGACTGGGGCACAGTCTTGCTGCAGGGGCCCTGGGCCCACCTCCTCCGCAGCCGCACCCCAGGCACCGTGTGGGTGGTGGGAAGCCAGGACACACTGAGGAGTGTGCAGCCGGCGTGCCGGACGTGCTCACAAGAGATGGCTGCCTGCTTTCTGTGCTCTCTGTGCAGGTGGCTCAGTGGTGGGGTCACATTCCGGAGAGAGCTCCTGCTCTCCATGGCTGCTAGAGGTTGCCAGGCATCGACCCTCTCCATTTCCTCCCCACCATGTCCCTTATCCTCTCAAAAGTTCCCTCATCCTTTATTCCTTCTCCTTCCCACTGTTCTGCCAGCTCACTTCTGTCTCCAGTCCCCACCCCCCACCCACCTTCTTATTTCTCCTTACGCAGCCTCCACACCAGTTCTTGCCATTGCTCCCTCGCCCCATGTCCTACACATCATCATAGTTTTTGGTCACAGCCCCTGGTGACATCCACCCAGCTGAAGGGACCCTTCCCTGAGCTGACCCGCCTGCAGAACTACGCAGCTGCCACTCTGCCTAGCACAGATGGTGTGGTATGCTGTCCCTCCTGTCTCTGCTGGGCTCTGTCTGCCCCGTGTCCCCGGCTGCTACCCCTGCCTCCAGCGTTTGCCCTCCTTCAAGGTCGGTCTGCCTCCCCTGCCCAGCTCTGGTCTCACTGCAGAATTCCTTGAGAGAACGGTTCATCCAACTGTTCTTCAACCACTCTTCTTCTGGTCCTTCTTTTTCTTCCTCCCTCCCCTCCTCTCTTCTTTTCTTAATTTAGAGATAGGGTCTTGCTATGTGGCCTAGGCTGGCCTTGAACTCACAATCCTCCTGCCTCTTCCTCCCCCATGCTGGGATTACATGCATGTGCTACCATACCCAGCCCTCCTGCACCCTGCTCAACACTGCTTCCATCACGAACCCCTACAGTTAAATCTGACACTGGGCCTCAGACCTTTGCTTGCAGCATTGGGCTCCTTCCTCACTGGGACACGCCCTTCTCCACTTCAGGTCACAGCGGGCCTTGAGTTTCCCTCCTTGTCACGGGCCACTGGCTCCCTTTCAAGCTGCTACTCCTCCCTGATCTCAGAAGGCTGGGGAGGCCTGTCCTGAGCCTTACATGCCTGGTGAACAGTGCTTCCAGCAGCCCAGGCCTCAGGGACTGAAAGTGTGGTTCAAGTGGTAGAGCCCTCTGCCCTGCAAGCACAAAGCCTTGAGTTCAAACCTCAGTCCCATCAAAAAACCCTGCGCCCTCCAGTGTCTCCATCTTTGCAGTTCTACCTGTGCAAACCAGAAATGGGTTCTTTCTGGGTTTCTTGGTTTCTCTCGGTGGCTTGTGCTATACTTCCAAGCCATTGTTGGTATTTCTTGTCAGCTCTTTCTTCAGGACACAGCCCAATACAGCTCATGTCACTGCTGCCACCATCACAAGACCCAAGCCACCAGGTCTTGCTAGACCCCTGCGGGAGCATGTCACAGCAGCCCTTGCTCCCTCCGTGTTTTCAGATCACATCACTGCTCCCGCTGCAGCACAAACACTCCAGCCAAATGTGGCAGCACACACCCTTAATCCCAGTACTTAGGAGGCTGAGGCAGGAAGATCCTGAGTTCCAGAACACCCTGGGCTACACAACAAGATACCATCTCAAAATCAAAACAAAATGAAGAAACCTACATTGTTCTTCTCCTGACCCGGAAAGGCCTGGAAGATCAGCCTGGCCTTCCTCCCTTGCTCCTCAGTGTGGTCCCTGTGCAGTCACACCACCTAACCCTTTGTTTCTTAAATGTCCAACTTCACTTTCCCCACTGCATGGCATCTCCGACTGCCTGCTGCTGCTGCCCAGGGGTTGGCCTGCAGGAGCAGTGTGCTCAGGCACTCTGAGGCACAAGGGATGGAAAACGATATTAACTCCTTACATTGCCACCGACAATGAGGGGACCTGAGGGGCAGGCAGATGGATGACTGCTCCCTTCACCCGACCCCCAGCCCATCATTCTGAGTTGCTTTCTACAAGGCTCTTCCATTAGGTATTTTTGGTTGGTTTTGCTAATTTTTTTGGTAGTACTGGGGTTTGAACTTGGGAACTACACCAGCCCTTTTTTTGTGATGAGTTTTTTTCAAGTTAGGGTCTTGAGACCTGTTTGCCCAGGCTGGCTTCCAACCTCGATACTCCTGAGTAGCTGAGGTTACAGGCGTGAGCCACCAGCACCTGGCTAGTACCAGATTTTGAACTCAGGGCCTTGTACTTGCTAGGCAAGTGCTGTACCACTTGAGCCATGCTGTAGCCCTTTTTTGGTTTAGTTATTTTTCAAATAGGGGCTTTCTGCCTGGGGCTGGCCTCAGACGTGATCCTCCTACCTCCATCTCTCAAATAGCTGGGATTATAGCTATGCACCACCATGCCTGGCCTGTTTTGGTTTGCATACAATCCACATAGCATAAAATCCATCCATAGACAGCTCAGTGCTACAACCCTACGGCTGGCAGAGTGGCTCAAGTGGTAGAGCTCCTGCCTAGCAAGCCTAAGGTCCTGACTTCAAACCTCAGTGCCACCAAAGGAGGAAAAAAAACCACAGTGCTTGGGCCTCCATATATTTACAGTGGTGTGTAGTACTCACAGTGTGCAGCCATCGCCACTGTCTAGTTCAAGAACATTCTCCTCACCCCAAGGAAACTCCCCTTGCAGTCAGTCCCCTGGCAACCTTCCATCTCCGTGGATTTGTCTGTTGGACATTCCAGAGAAATGGATTCCCGTGACACATGTCCCTTTGCGTCTGGCTTCTTTCACTCCATGTAACAGTGCGTGTGAGCACGGAGCATGCTGTTCCTTTTGTGGCTGAATTATCTTCCACAGTACGTATGTACATCTTACCTACCTGTTGAGTCATTTATACTTCTTTGGCCATTGGGGATAGTGCAACTAGGAAGGTTCCTGTACAAGTATTTTTGGTGGCACTGGGGTTTGAACTCAGGGCCTCACACTTGCTAGGCAGGTGCTGTACTGCTTGAGCCCCTCCTCCAGCCCCCTGGATGTAGGTTTTCAGTTCTCTCGGGGGCAGATACCTAGGAGTGGAATTGCTGGGTCATACAACAACTCTAATTTTTTTTTTTTTTTTTTACTGCTGGGGGTTGAACCCAGGGTCCAGTGCTTTGCAGGCAAGTGCTATACCACTTGAGCTATGCCCCAGCCCTTTTGCTTTTTTTTTTTTTTTGTGGTGGTGGTTCTGGGGTTTGAACTCAGGACCTCACGCTTGCTAGGCAGGCGCTCTATCACTTGAGCCACTCCACCAGTTTTTTTATTTGAGTTTTGAGACAAGAGTCTTACAAATTGCTGACTGGACTGGCCTCGAACTGTGATCCTCCTATCTCCACCTCCTGAGTAGCTGGGATTACAGGCATGCACCACCACACCTGCCTCCTCCCTAATGGAGCCTCAGTTGGCCCTGGTGTTGATAGTTTTGATAGTCTTTGGATCAGCCATTCCTGCACACTGTGCATTCTTCCCAGACCCTCCTAGGGACTGCGTCCACCCTAAGTCTCTACTCCGGCCTGATCTCCAGCTTTGCCTGCTGGGGCACCAGGGCTGAGACACCCCCTCTCAGGCCTCATCCTCCCTCCCCACATTTGCCACCAGAGCTGTGCACTGTTCATCGTGACCCTCCAGATCGCCATCATGAAGACAGACTCACTTGCGTTTGTCTTGTCACAGTGATTATTTCTGTAAACGCTGACGCTTCTCCCTCCTTTCTTTCGCCACCTTCAGGATTACGGCCCCAAAGTCAACTTTCGGAAGCAGAAGCTGAAGATGGCGGACTTCCGGGGCCTCCCCAGCTTCAGCCGGGAGGTGGTGCAGAGGATGGGCCTCTACCCAGGGCTGGAGGGCTTCCAGCCCGTGGAGCAATGTAACCTGGACTACAGCCCAGAGCGGGGCTCCGCCATCGATCCCCACCTGGACGACGCCTGGCTGTGGGGGGAGCGGCTTGTGAGCCTCAACCTGCTGTCCCCCACTGTGGTGTCCATGTGCCGGGAGGCGCCTGGCAGCCTGCTGCTGAGCTCGGCCCCTGCTGCCGGCCCCGAGGCCTATGCGGACCGCCTGATTGCCCCTAGCAGGTCGGTCCTGTGCCAGGAGGTGGAAGTGGCCATCCCTGTCCCCTGCCGCTCTCTGCTGGTGCTTGCCGGGGCTGCACGGCACCAGTGGACACACGCCATCCACCGCAGGCACATTGAGGCCCGTCGCGTCTGTGCCACCTTCAGGGAGCTGTCGGCTGAGTTCTGCCCTGGAGGGAGGCAGCAGGAAGTGGGCCACGAGCTCCTGCAGATCGCACTGTCCTTTCAGGGAAGGCCGGTGTGAGCCGCCTCCCCGGAGCTGGGTCCAGCCAGAGGTGAAGGCTCCAGCGCTGACCATGGGCCGGGATGAAAGTGGCAGCCCAGTGCCAGGGACTCCCTTCCCCACTCATTGTTGAGTTGGGAGCGGAATCCAGGGTCTCGTGTATGCCAGGCAAGTGCTCTGCCGCTGAGCCAAGTTCCCAAGCCCTTTTTGCTTTATTTTTTCAGGAAGGGTCTCGAGTTTTTGCTTGGGCCAGCCTCAGACCTTGATCCTCCTACCTCTGCCTCCTGAGTAGCTGGGATCACAGGCGTGCGTTACCACGCCTGGCTTATGTTTTAAGAGAAGCCATCTGACTCCTGGTACCATGTGCACCTGGAGCTGGTTCTGACAGAACTGTCCAAGGCCAGTTCCCTTGGAGCTGCACTGTGCCACTGTTTGGGTTATTATTTAATTTGTCACAGTTTGGAGGGGGTTGGGTTTGACATTTAAAAATGTTGGTACCATGTAAAACGATTTCCTTCTTTGCCCATGTCTGTGTGAGGTTTCTAGACAGCCTGTCATCAGATCCCTTCATCTGGGGAACATGTTGGACCAGAGAACAGAATTGGGACATCTGAAGTTCTCTTCAGTGGTGGCAGCTTTGAGTTGGGCTCAGCCGGGGTCATTTTTGACACCATGGGTTGGGAATCTGAGAGCCTGGTCCCTCCACCGCCCCTACAGTGATGTTAAAAAGTGGGAAACAATTGCTCCTCTCCTCCCTTGCTCTTGTCTCAGGTCCTCTGGTGGGTGGTCATAAGCTACGGGGTGCTCACCTGGAGGGGACAGCTGCCCCAGTCACCTGCAGCCAGGTAGGGAGCAGGCCATGGCAGCTGAGGGGTGACAGTGTACCCAGACCGCAGCTTATGAGACAGCCCACTTGGTGCCAGCCGTGTTGAAGAACAGAGCCACTTTGCCTGCAGGAAAGGGGGCGGGTCATCTCCCAGAAGGGGCTCTACTTCCAGGTAACCGTTCCCAGGCAGGGAACATCTGCATGATTGCCCATTGGTCCAACCGGGCCGAACAGCTGGACACTGGCCCCTGAGCTGCAGGGAACCGAAGGACCAGAGCTTCAGTGGCTCCTGTCCTGGACTGCTTGGTGACCTTGTGGACGTTGTCCTGATGGGTTCTAGTTTTGTGGCTCTCAGCCACCCCATGGGCCCACCCCTCCCATTTCTGTTTTCCACCTTGGGAAGGAAGCTACGTGTTTTTTGGGTTTTTTTTTTTTTTGTGGAACTGGGATTTGAACTCAGGGCCTACACTTTGAGTCACTCCATCAGCCCCTTTTTGTGATGGGTTTTTTCGAGACAGGTCTTGCAAACTGTTTGCCTGGGCTGGCTTCAAACACGATCCTGATCTCCCTCCCAAGAAGCTAGGATTGCAGGCATGAGCCACTGGCGCCCAGCCTTTTTAAATTCTTTTTCTTTTTGGAGATGTGTAGCCCAGCTGGCCTCAAATTCAGTATTTTTCTACCTCAGCCTCCCAAGTGCTGGGATTAGAGGTGTGCACCACCATACTGGCTACATCCACGGGCTTCTTGGAGCTCCAGCTGTCAGGAGCTTCATGAGGCTGGTGTGGCTTGGGTCAGAGCACCCTGCCTGTCCTTTCTAGAGAAGTCTGGGACCCTCTATTTCTGTAGGCCTGGGGGACCCAACGGAACTGGCCAGCAACAGGAAGTGGCAGGTACACTCTAGGAGAAGGGGCTGTCATGACAGGATGAGAGTCAGCAGTACAGCAGGCACCGGGGGCTGCCACATGTCCCCTCAACCCCACGAGCACACAGGTTTGAATAGCTTCACTGGCTGTTTATTCAGCTCAGTCCAGGGTGTGTTAACCCCTTTGCAGTCAGCAGTCACGTAGACATGCACCATTTGCACAGTGGCACTGGAGGTGACAGTGGCTCATGGCTTCATCCTCCACAGGCCTTCCTAGGAGACCCGAGTCACATGCTGCCTCTGCGGTTTCTAAGACAGCTCTGAAACTGCCTAGGTAGACGAGATCACATTCCACTCGGGGAAGGGCTCCGTGTGTCTGAGGGCGCTCGGCTTAGCACTGGGAAGGGGCCCAGTGACCCCAGGGTGCCCCCTCGTCCCCCATGCCCCCCACCATTACAGTGCTCTGCAAAATCAGGCTACACCTCCAGAAACCGAATTTCTAGCCCGCTGTTTGTGCTCTCATGCCCCCACCATGGTGGCTTTGCCCCCATCTCCCAATAAGCTCCCAGTGGCCCTGAGGTCCCCTCCTGGACTGTTCCCCACACACACGGTCACCTGTTCCCAGAGACTCTTTGCCCCATGCTTAGGAGCTGGAGAAGCACCGGAAATCACAGGAGCATTGCTCTGACGAGGGGTCGCAGGTAAGGGGCAGCTTCCCACTGCCATCAGGCCATCTGTATCTGACACTGCCAGGCGGCAGCTCTGTCTGTGGGCCGGGTGTCACACATGCCTAGGTCAGCACTGGGGTGAGCCTGGCACAGTCTGGGACCTGAGCAGCCCCATGGTGAGGGGCCCCTGATGGCCTGGGAGAGGGCCTAACACTTGAAGGCTCCCAGACTTGGGAGCTGTCACTCAGAAGGGCCAGACTGTTTTGTTCCTGCCAGGACACAAGGGGACATCGAGGAGAGTCGCTGATTTTCTTTAGCAAAGCAAACACAATACACCAGGCAAACCTTTTCAACAAGGCCCCAGGAAAGCATGGCTGCACTAGAGGCCAGGGGTTCTCCATAGACTGCAGGGCAAACGCCCTTTGGAAGATGCAGGACCCTTCTGTAGCCCTGGGGGGTCCCAGTGTCCCGCAGATGCCACAATTTACCGGTGGGGGAGGGGGTTCTCCACACAGCTCTTCAAGGCCCCTTAGAATCTCATTGTGCATTAAGGTTTATATCCTCAACAGCAGATGACACTCCCGGAGACCCCAACCACACCATCCCGGCTCCCACGACACACGATCCAAACCCAAGACACAGCAGCCGATCTCAAAACCGTAAGCACAGCCTGACTGGTCATTACATACAGAACGGAGGGCGGGCCGGGGAAGGGTAAATGCGGCTTCAAAGCAGCTCACGGTACACCTGCCGCCACCTAAGCTGGCGCTGTAGCCCGGGCTTCAGCTGATGATATCAGACCCACACCACACGACTGTGTAAACACGGGGCGGGTGTCCTGAGCCCTTAGGCAAGGGGACAGCGAGGGCCTGCATTTGGCCAGGTTTAGACCAGGTCACTGGCTCTGCTGAAACAGGAAGTTCCCTGCCCCACACACTGTCCCCTCTTGACGCCTGCAGGCCACAGGTAGCAAGGAGTGGGGGTGGCCCTAGTGCCTGAGCCAGTCTCCCCGCCCCGCCCTGGCCTGCTGCTGGAGGAGCCCAAAAGGGCTGCTGACTCAAGCTCAAAGGGCCGTTTTGTGATGACAAGGTGGATGCCCTGGACTGTGGGCCCTTTCCCCGCCTGGTGGCTTCAATGAGTCAGTGCGGCTGGCCGGGCTCGGGGCTTAGTTAACTCTGAGAACCCTTCAATTAACTTGGCCTCATTCAAGACCTGCCTCCTTGACCTTGGCCTGGCTTCCTGCCCTGGGAGAGCTCCCTGAACTCACAACTCCCACCTCCAGCTGCAGCACCAACTGCACCCAGATTCCTGCCTCCCCCGACCCCATCCCAAGCCAGGCCACCCCCGCTCCTTCCAGGGTCCAGAGGGAAGCACCAAACCACATAAATCAGTCACCAAATGCCACACTAACCGGATCCCTGTGACCGCTGGTGCTGCTCAGGGCCTTTCTGGGACAGGTCCTCTTCAGTTTGTCCCTGACCCAGGAAGTCCCCAGGGCCATGGGAGCAGCCTCTCGCCCTGTGCCAGCAATCGCTCAGCAACACAGTGTCTTGTAGCTGTTCCCCTCCAAGACAGGAGGAAACTTTGGTGTGGCATTCTCTGCAGGGGGGGTGGTCCTCCCTCAGCTCCTGGCCAGGTCCCCGCGGCCACTCACACCACCTGCAGGCCCCGCTCGTGCCCGTCCAGCTGCACCTTGAGCTGGTGCAGCATCTCGATCTCACGGTTGTGGCGTTCCGTCTTGTGGCGCACCAGTGAGCGGTAGAAGTGGATGGTGAAGACCACGAAGATGAGGCCCACAGGCACCATGATGATGGTGGACACCAGGGCAGCCTGCCAGCCCGCGTGGCCACCAGGGCCCGGCTGGTGTCTGGCATCCACGGGCAGGAACTTGATCCAGCAGAGCAGCACCACCTCGGCCAGGAAGAGCAGGATGCCCAGCACGGTGGAGAAGCCCCAGGCCAGCTCGATGTAGGGGTGCATGCGCTCATGGGGCGACTCGCTGATGGAGTTGAGGTTGTGGATATTGCTCACGGCCTCCACGTTGGGCAGGATGCATGTGCTGATGAGGAGGGCGAACAGGTGCACGGCCACCAGCACCGTGGTGCAGGCGCTGAAGGCGATGAGCAGCAGCTGTGGGTACTGGTACCGTGTCTCCAGCTGCACCTCCACCATGGCCACCTGGGGGCACAGGGAGCGGCAGGACTGCACATCACTGTGGCCACCTGGGAGGGTGGAACTCATCTACGCTCAGCCCTCAAAGCCCAGGGGCCCCCTCCCCACTGTTTAAATAGTTCATGCTTTTGCCACGCCAGGCATGGTGGCTCATGCCTGTCATTCCAGCACTCGGGAGGCTGAGGCAGGAGAATCTCAAGTTTGAGGTCAGCCTGGGCTACATAGAGAGACCTTGTCTCAAAAAAAATTCACTTTCATCTCTTCTGATTAGCTGAGTATGCTCTCATTAGAGAAAAGTCTGGAAAGTACTTAAGAGTGAAGATCCAGCACAGTACCAATGACTCACGCCTGTAATCCCAGCTACTTAGGAGGCAGAGAACAGGAGGATCGCAGTTCGAAGCCAGCCCAGGCAAATAGTTTGGGAGACCCTATCTCAAAAAAACCCGTCACAAAAAAGGGTTGGTGGAGGGGCTCAGGGTGTAGACCAGAGTTCAAACCCCAGTACTGCAACAAACAAAAAGAGTGAAGATGCAGGTTGGGGTGGCGGGGAGGGACGTCATCCCTGGTGCCTTCCCAGAGTCCGGTGCACCTAGGCAGAGGCCATGGCTGGCAGCACACAACTCTACTGTTCAGCAGGCTGAAGTGTGGCTTAGCTGCAAAACAGTGGCTGCTTTTCCACAGAATAAAAATTGATTTTTTAATTTGGTTTTGAGATGGGGTCTCACTATGTAGCCCAGGCTGGCCTTGAATTCATTATCCTCACACCTCAGCCTCCTAAGTGCTGGGATTATAGGTGTGCACCACCACACCTGGCTAAAACTGACCTTTTGAAAGGTACAAAGAGAGGCTCTGGAGGTACCGAGACTTGGAGCTGCCCACCTGGACAGCCTCTTGGAGGCCGCAGGTACATCTCCCAGCTGAGATCAATTGCTGGAGGAAAAGCCAGCTCTCTAAGCCCAGGACGGAGAGGTCAAGTGAGGACAAAGGCGGGGGGAGCTGTGGGAAGGAGGCTGGGCACAGCCAGAGCTTCATGCATGCCAGGTGCTCTACCACTGAGCCAAATCACCAGGCGTTCTTTAAAATTTTTGTTTGAGACAGGATCTTGCTATGTAGCCCAGACTGGTCTTGAGCGCTCAATCTTCCTGCTTCAGCCTCCCAAATGCTGGGATTACAGGTATGGGCCACCATGCCCAACTAACAGTTCAGTTTTAGACTATCTTTATACACACTTTGATGAAACAGTTACTTTTATTTATTTATTTTTGCAGTGTTGGGATTAGGACCAGGGCTGTGTGCATGCCAGGCAAGTGCTCTACCACTGAGCCACACCCCAGCTCTAAGACACTTTTAAACAAAGGGGAGAAAAGGCCCCCAAAAACCACAGGGAAGGGGAAGCCCCAGCTTATGTCTTAGCAGGAGCTATTTACAGTCATCTTGGCCCCGCTGGCCACATCCACGAAGGGCAGCCTGCCCTCCCACGCTTGCCCCACAGTCAGACCATGTTCAATTTCAAAGGCACCCTCCCTAGCTCACCACCCCACACCCCAGCAACGTGGACTGCCCTAGTGGAGAGTGTAGACCAGGCCCAGCAAGGACTCCTCTTCCAGGAGTCAAAGGTAAGAAACCAGAGCAGGACTGGAGGTGTGGCTCAAGCAAAAGAGCGCCTGCTTTGCAAACATGAAGCCCTGAGTTCAAATCCTGGTCCCACCAAGAAAAAAAAAAGAAAGAAAAAGAAAAAAAATCCCAGAAAAGGGTGGGGAGGGAGAAAGGAAAGAAGCTTAGGGAAGGTTTTCCATCCACTGTGTTTACTTCCTACATCTGAGCCATCTTTTTTTCTTCAATAATCTAGAAGAAAGCTCTCCCAACTTTCTGTAGCAACTACCAGGTCTTAGCGTGAGAACCTCGTTCCTCACTGCCCTTTCGGCGAGGACTGACAAGGCGGTCCTCATGGACAACCACTGAACAGCTGCTCGGCAGTTATCGCGGTTGAGGCCTTTATGAAAGCAGCCAAAAAACCCAGAAGGCACAGGAAATAGGCTGAGGGGTGACCTTTCTTCAGTGCCCCTGTGGCCCAAAGAACAAATATTACCAACTACAAATGGGAGACAGCGATTTAAAAGGCAGGAGAAAGGGTCCCCAGAAAGCAAATTCAAGGCCAACCTGAACAAAAGTTAACCAGACACTATGTCAAAAATAAGCCAGGTGTGGCAGTCATGCCTGTAATCCCAGCTACCCAGGGCATGGAGAGAGGTCCAAGGCTGGCACAGGCACAAGCACAAGACCCTGTCTGAAAACAAACTAAAGCCAAAGGACTGTGGGGGGGGATGTCAAGTGGTTCTGCACTGCCAGGAAGCTCGAGGCCCTGAATTCAAATTCTATACTGCCAAGAAAAATAAAATAGAAACAAAGCAGCTCCTCCAGAGAAGAAAAGGCCAGACGGCCATTCTTCATGGTGTTTATGGTGAGGTTTCAGGAAACAGCCTCAGATCACTGGTTCTCGTTAGGGACCATGCAGAAGTGAGCGTAAGGTGGACCGCCACTGTTCACTGGACAAGAAGTGGCTTTGTGATTCCATCAGGGAGCACTAATGCAGGGAGGGTCCCCCCAGAAACCACCTGTTTTCCTCTGTCCTGGCCCGACCCAGCCATAGCTGCCCTCCTCGCCCTGCTCTTGGCTCCATGGTGCCTCCCACTTCCCTAGGAAACTCTCCATGGGGACGGTGGAGGGCTGGGGCCGTGGCTTGAGTGGTGAGCACCTGCCTAGCAAGCATGAGGCCCTGAGTTCAAACTGAAGTACTGCAAAAAAAAAAAAAAGGGGGGGTGGGCTGCAGCCCCCAGGGAGGTAACTTCCAGAAGAGGAGGGGAGGGAACCAAGGGGCTTCTGAAATGCCCGCCCCACCTGCTGTGGAAACTGGATGGGAGGCGCTGCAGGACAGGACAGAGGTGAGCTATACTAGAAAGAGTTCCTGCTGCGGCCTAGCTGAGGACAGACAGCGTCCGGGGACATCTGGCTGCCCTGGGCGCTCCTCCTGGCCTATGTCGCACCTCTGAAGGCAGTCATTATGTCTCCCAATGCCTCCCTTCTCCAGAGGCCACACTTCCTGTTTGATAACTTTATTCACAGAGTTTGTTTTTAAATACCCACTGGTTTTCAGCCTTCAACTGAAGTCAGCATTTTTTTTGGCAGCACTGGGATTTGAACTCAGGGCCTCACAATTTCTAGACATGTGCTCTTACCACTTGAGCCACCATCAGCCCTGTTTTGTGAAGGGTTTTTTTCAAGATAAGGTCTTAAAAACTATCTGCCCAGGCTGGCTTTGAACCGTGAGCCTCCTGATCTCTGCCTCCTGAGTAGCTGGGATTACAGACGTGAGCCACCGGTGCCTGGCTACATTGTCTTTTTTAATATGATAAAAATCAAGGGAAGAAAAACCAAATGCACTGTCCTCCCAGTTAGGAGCCCTCTGCCCCACCTGGTGTGGCCCTCTCTGATTAGAAGGCGGCTCATGTCCCCGAGGGCGGCTCCTCCCGGTGACTGAGTGAGCTTTTGTGGCCACAGTGGCTGCTCTGTCCGCTTTTTGGTTTAAATTGCACTGCCAATTTAACAACGGAGGCTGTGGGCTGTGGGCTGGAGAAAAATGATTATTTTGACACGAATAAGTAAATCTCTTCCAGCCCCACGGGACCTCCGCACACAGCAGCGAGGGCTGAGCCCTGACATCCTGCCGCTGGGACAGTGCCCCGAGGGGCGTGGGAGCCTGACTTGGAGTCAGCAGCAGATGTGGCTCTGCCCGAGGCTGACTCTTGTCCTGGGCTGACTCAGAGGGAGAACAGCAGCTGGGAGCCATTCTGGAACCTCTGCCACACTGTCACCCGGAGGGGGCCACATTCAGAGAGTGGTTTTGTCCCCAACTGGGCTGGTCCCAATCATCCTGAGCCCCTCAGGTGGGCAGACCCCACTTCCCTCCTGGCCACTTGTCAATTATTATATGAGCCTAGAAAAGTGACTTTCTGGTGGCTCATCCCTGTAATCCCAGCTACTCAGGAGGCAGAGATCAGGAGGATCATGCTTTGAGGCCAGCCCTGGGCAAACAGTTCACAAGACCATATCTTGAAAATACTCAACACAAAACAGGGCTGGGGGAGGGGCTCAAGTGGTAGAGCGCCTGCCTAGCAAGTGTGAGGTCCTGAGTTCAAACCCCAGTGCCACCAAAAAATACAATTTTTAAAAAGTGGCTTTCTGAGAACTCTGGGCTGCTCCCCACTCCCAACTGCTCCATGGACATCTCAGTCCTTGGCGGGAGCTGGGACATGGGCAGACAGTCCCCACGGGTCCATTCAGGCTGCCATCGGGGCCTTGAGGGAAAGCTTTGCTCCCTGCAGTGTCACCCCGATGCCACAGTGGCCCCTCGCCCGCACTCACCATGGCGAAGCCTGAGAGGAGGGCCGAGGTCCGGCTAGACGCCTTCAGCTTGGCCCGGCTCAGGTACAGCTTCCTCCAGGACAGCGCCTGCACCGAGTGGTGGTTGGAGGTGACAAGCTCCAGGTAGCTGCGGCGGACCCAGTCCCGGTAATCCATGCCCTTGTGGCCGGGCTCCGAGCAGGCGGGGGTGGAGGGATCCACAGGCACGTTGAGCTCAGTGCTCATGGTGGGAGCCAGGCTGGGCGGGAGAGAGACACATTCAGACACGCTAGGCAATGGCTGCGGAAAGCCGGGCTCCGAGCCTTGTGTTTTCATTTTAACCCAGCCTGGCATCAAACTCCCAATCCTCCTGCTTCCTGAGCACCGGGATTACAGGCATGCACTACCATGCCCAGTTTCCAGTCATTCAGCCTTCCTGAGGCCATGGATCTAATGGCCACATGAGTGTGGAGGCCCTGGTGTCTGAGGCAGTCGCCACCTGTACAAGAGGAGGGTGTCGGGTGTCGCCTGTGCACAACCAGGCACAGTGGTCCCCAAGGGGAGGCTGCCTCCATGCTGATGCTCAGGACAGCTGCAGCCCAGTGTGACTCTTGGATGGATGGACTTCATAAAGGACGCACCTGCTTTACAGCATCTTCAAGGGACAGGGGGCTGAAGCACTCAGAAAGAGTCTGGGGCTGCAGGTGTGGCTCAGTGGGAGAGCGCTTGCCTAGCATGCACACACACGAGGCCCTGGGTTCCACTCTCAGTTCCACAAAAACAACAACAACAAAAATCAGGCCAGGCATGGTGACGTGTGGTGACATATGCTTGAATCCCAGCTACTCGGGAGGTGGAGATCAGAGGACTGATGTCCTAGCCCAGGCAAAAAGTTCATGAGACCCCATCTCAACAAACAAGCTGGGCCAGGCGCTGGTGGTCATAATTATAATCCCAGCTAACCAAAGACAGAGATCAGGAAGATCAAGGTTCGAAGCCAGCCAGGGCAACGAGTTCCTGAGACCCTATCTCAGAAAAAAAATCACAAAAAAGGGCTGGGGGAGTGGCTCAAGGTGTAGGCCCTGAGTTCAAACCCCAGTTCCACAAAAATTAAACAAACCCAAAACAACCAACCTCCGACCTAGGCTCCAAGACTGGCTTTGACCAAGCTGTGAGATTCTGCGAGAGACACCTGATTTGCTGATCTCAGGGTCCTGTCTTCAGAATGGGGACCTCCTGCCTGAACATGACCCTGCTCCTGAAGACCAACGCTGCTTTTTTGTGGCGGCACTGGGGTTTGAACTCAGGGCCTCACAATTGCTAGACAGGCGCTTCTTACCACCTGAGACACTCCCCCAGCACTTTTTTTTTTTTTCTGGACTAGGGTGTGAACCCAGGGCCTACACCTTCAGCCATTCCACCAGCCCTTTTTTGTATTGTTTTTTTTTTCGAGATAGGGTCTCACAAACTATTTGCCCAGGGCTGGCTTCAAACCCTGATCCTCCTGATCTCTGCCTCCTGAGTATCTGGGATTACAGGTGTGAGCCACCAAAGCCTGGCAATATACACTTTAACCACAATATGTTACATAAACTATTTTTTGGTAGTACTGGGGTTTGAACTTAGAGCCTCACACTTGCTAGGCAGGAGCTCTACCACTGAGCCATACCCCCAGCCCCACCAGTCCTTTTTGTGTTGATCTCAGTCCCCTGGGTAGCTGGGATTACAGGTGTGAGCGCCCTGCTGACAAGAGCACATTTTGAGGACAGACAGAGACAAGAGGCCCCTGGAGTCAGTGCTGAACATCCAGTTTGACAATAATGAACTCCAGAAGGGCTGGCCTAGTGAGATTTGTGAATTTCATCCCAAACCCCCAGGATTTCTAATAGGAGATTGGCAGTTGGGTCTCCCATCCCCCAGAGGTGGCCTGGCCTGCTCTGCCACACACCGGGTGGGATCCGGCTCTAATTAATCTCCCAGCAACCCAAGCTTCAAGGGCACAGACACTTGTGGCTCCCTTGGCACAGACCCACCAGGCCCACCTAAGCCCATGTAAGGTCACCTAAGGCCATCAGAAACACACCAGGGTTCCTAGGTGCCAGGAGTGTGGCTGTGGGTGTTTACAAGGATCAGCATGGAAGGAAGTGCCACCCACTTAATGGGGTCCAATGGGAAGGTTCTGGAAGTGGGAAGGGTCCTCTGTCCTCTCTGATCCCAGCCAGGTTGCAGAGCCATGGCTTTTACTGGCCAAGGAAGGGGATCCCTGGGGTTCAGTTCTACTTGTTTGTTCCATCTCTCTCTCTCTCTCTCTCCTCTCTCTGTCACACATGTGACCATCAGCGCTGCATCCCAGCCCTTCCTCACTGGATGGCCCTTCCCCTGGGGAGAACGGAGAGAAAGATTGCTTGCTAACCACTCTGCTCGTTGGTTTTAAATAATTGAAAATGTCCTAATTTGGAAGTGAGCTTTTCCTCTTTCCTTTTTCTCTCACGTAGAACGGAGCTGGGCCTGAGATCTGTTGGAGGGAGGTGCTCCGTGGCACCCCAGGGATGCTCACTACACTGGGTTCTTCCGCCATCAAAGGCTACAAGAGGCAGAGACAAGGGGATGACTGTCATCCAGCGAGCTGACTGCTGCAGGGGACCAGGACAGAACAGAGAAGGGCTGGCCGCTTCCCACTGAGGCTGGGGAAAGGATCCCTGGTGTAGGCAACACCAGGGAGCAAGGTTGGGGATACTGACATGGGTACTACGGCAGCCAGCCTGGGCAAAGAGGGACCCTTCCTCCAAGACAAGACGTTGTGCCAGGCCAGTGGCTTACACCTGTAATCCCAGCTACTCAGGAGGCAGATTTCAGGAGGATCCAGGCAAATCATTCCCAAGATCCTATCTCGAAAAAAACCATCACACAAAAGGGCTGGTGGAGTGGCTCAAGCCATGGACTAGACACATAGCATGGCTACCTAGCAAGTGTGAGGCCCTGAGTTCAAACCCCAGTGCCACAGGGGAAAGAAAAGATGCTATCTGAGTAGAGGATCTGACAGTCAGGGAGCCAATTTGGTTTGGCTCCCATCCTTCAGGATGGGAAGGCTGGCTGTCTCCAGGACAAGGGAGATGCAGGTGGGAGTCACCTGGAGGCCACAGTCACAGTCCCATGGTGGTTCTGCCTAGGCTGGCCACCACTCAACCCAGTGAAATGACTGGTGGACTGAGAGGGCTGAGGACTGGGTGGCCCAGGTGGTCTCCAACGGGAGGAAGGAGGAAGGGATGTGTGGGGTGAAGACAGAAGCCTAAGGGCCATCTCCCAGCATGCGCCTGACTACAGTCTTGAGAGTGGAGGAGCCCAGTTTCAGGACAGTGAGGTCTCAGGGTGGCCTCACTGCTGGGCTGGGCACTGCAGATGTCACCAGAGTGGGCAGGAATTGGGCAGGAAGGGCTGTCTGCCTGGAGGAGTGACCAGCCATGGACTGGATTCAACTCCATTCTTTACCCTCCAGCACCTGCCTTGTCAGCCTGTGCCCCAGGGGGAGGCGCCCACAGAGCCGGGTCCCCCAGCTCCAGGCTCAGGCCGGGGGTGGGGTGGGACAAGATGGAGTCGACATGTCTGCCAGCCAGCTCAGGCTCCAAGGATGCTGTCACTGGCTGAACCTTCTGGGGCTTTCTGGCTTTTGTTTTTATAAGGAACAGCGATCCTCACACTAGCGATCCTCCTCGGTGGGCTCGTGTGAAACAGTTCCAGGGAGCGGGTGCTGGAGCCTGCCTGTCTTGACTTCCTCCAAACATCTGGGGCACGGGAAATGTGTCTGTCACACGCGCGCGCGCGCGCGGGGACTGCGGCCTCCTGGAGGCACACACCTGCATCTGTCCCTCCCCCCGGGGAAATCCCAACAGCTGCAGGACCCGGATCGCGCGGGTGCCCTGACCTCATGCGACAACCGGCCTGGGATCCCGCCGATTTGGGGTCACCTGGTCTCGCCCCAACCCCGCAGCCATCCTGTCCTCTTTCCGTCGCCTCCCAAGGCTGCCCAAGAGGAAGCCAAATTCTGTGGGATCCAATTCCTGCCCCTCTCCCAGCTGGGTAGGGACCGCCCCCCCTTCTCCGCGGCAAATCCCCCCTAGGGGACAGAGGTGGGGGATGGACGCGTCCGCCACCCATCCGAGCACTCACCGGAGCTGCCCTGCCCGCTGCGCCTGGCTCTGGGCTCCCGGCTGGCGGCTGTGACGTGGCCCTGTGGCCCGGTGACCCGGTGGCCGGGCCAGGGCGCCTAGTATGGCCCCCACGTTCTTTCCTCCAGGCCCAAAGGGTTCCCCCCAGCCCGGCCCCGCCCCCGCCGGTCGCCCCGCCCCCGCCGGCCGCCGCAGCCGCTGCCTAGGCAACGGCGCGCCGCGATCACGTGACCTGACCGCGGGGGACCCGCTGGGGGCCACGTGACCCGCGCAGCCAGGAGGAGCCGGCCCCTCCCTTGGGATCCAGAGGGTCCTGAGCGACCAGAGGGGCACCGGGGTTACAGGATCAGCTCGGGTGTAATGGGGGGATGCCCGGCATCCGTCCGCCGATGCTGGAGGAGTTGGGGCGGCACAGGATGGGAATAGGGGTGTAAGGGGAGGCTCGGCTTGGCCATGCCTGTTTGCACCAGGGTGTGCGGTGGCTGCAGAGCTGCCCCAGGTCACCAGGTCACTGCGGCCTGGGGGACGTGCACCGATCTTTCTCGCAGACAGCACAAAAGGGTTTCTGTGCTGCGGACCGCCCGCTCCCACGCGCCCTCCCCACTGCCACCACCCTTGCTGGTGAACTTTGCGGTTTACAACCGAGATATTAAAATAGGAGCGATCTTTTCAGGAAGTGCACATGAATATTCGCCGAGAAGCGAGATGGGCTGCTGTCGGCCCGGCGGTGCCAGACGGCCCCTTGGAGTCCTTCCTCTGTGCCCTACATAGGATTTTTCCATCTGTCACGATAGCGTTAGACTGTGACACATTTATCCAAACGAAAGAAAAATTCCACTCGTTGTCAGCCGGCCCCAAGTTTACTGACAATAGACTTGGCAGATAACAGGCTAAATCCGTTTACACTTGAGTTGCACTTCAGAGCTGAGAGCCGGAAGAGTACCTTTTAATCCCAGATACCGCTTAAAAAACAGACCAGACCAGTCACCCCTCCTGGTACCGATCCAGGGGTAAGGTCAAGCCCTAAAACCAGGCACTGGAAAACCCTAGGGATCCCCCCCCCTCCCGCAATGTCTATAGGATGGGGAACATTTGAATTTCAGGGAGCTAAGTCTCTCAAAAAAGATAATCAGCTGTGACTTTCAGACCTCAAGCTCTTGTTAGTGAACTTGAAAACAGGAAGAAAACACTTGGTAAACTACAGCCGTTGCATCAGCGCTGAAATTCTTCCGGCAAGGGAGTGTTTGCTTCTTGCTGTCTCACTTGGGAAGCTTGGCTCTGCTGTCCCTTGGACCTTTCCAGTCAGTGCCAGTAAGTGAGGCCCCTACCCTTGCACAATTATCCAGCATGCCAGGACAGAACAAAATGTCAGTTGTAAACGCAGTGCTTTCTGGAGTCACTTCCCCAGCCAAACACAGAAAACAGTGAGGGTTTTGTCTCAGTCCCTTAAAAGATGGAGTGAGATGATGACACCATGGTGACTTGACAATCAGGAGACTGACAGTTGGAGGGCCCAACCTCAGGCTCACAGATGGCTGACACAAGGAAGAAGACTCAGGTCAAGTGCCCAGTGTCCCCTCGTCAGTATGCTGGGCTGCAGCTGGGGCTGTTTCCTGAGTTTGTTGGCCTGGGCAAGTGGCGTCCTATCTCTGAAAGACCAGATCTGGGAAGCACATACTCAACCACCTTCAAGCTCCACTAAGCACATACTCCCTCGTTCTTATCACTATGGATGACCTCATAGTTGGTGTGACTGGTATGTCCAGTCCCCTGGCACCTCACTTCTGTCCTCTTGGCCACGGACTCCTATAGCAATTACTCTCGAAAAACTTAAAAGTCAAACATCCCACTATATGGGTCAGCTTTTGTTACTGTAACAAAATGCCTGGGGTTATTTTATAAAGACAAGAGGTTTAGTTCTGGAAGTAACGGTCCAAACAGCATGGTCTAGGCTGTGGAGTGGGCCGCTGGGCTGCATCATGCCATGGAAAACCCATGTGTCCATTTGTGTGGTCTCCCCCTCTCCTTATAAAGCCACCAGAATTCAGTGATGGGGGGCTCGCACCCTAATGATGTAATCCAGTCACTTCCCAAAGGCCCACCTCTAAACACAGTGGGATTGTTCCCACCCTCTTAAAACTATTAACATAAGACTTTGAGAATTAAACTCCTCTATGAACTTGGACAAACATGCCACCCACTCTGACCCACCAGCCCCTCTTCCTGGACCTGTTGAAACTCTCCTTTCTCCTCCATCCCCCTTTCCTCTCAGTGAAACCCTTCAGTCACCCTCCTGCCTCTGCCTCTCACTTTTTTTTTTTTTTGTGGGTGTAACTCAGGGCCTACACCCTGAGCCACTCCACCAGCCCTTTTTTGTGTGTTGGGTTTTTTTTGAGATAGGGTATCAAAAACTATTTGCCCAGGCTGGCTGAACCTCGATCCTCCTGATCTCTGCCTCCTGAGTAGCTGGGATTATGGGCGTGAGCCACTGGGGCCAGCCCTGCTCTCACCTTTTTTAACCTCAGCCACCACCATCCCCCACTTCGTGACCAAACTTCTCCACAAGCTGTCATCACCCCACTTCCTCCTCAGGCCTCTGCAGTCCACTGACATTATATCTTTAAACTCTAGAGATGTTTTAGCCATCAGCCTCAGTCCCTGGAGACCTTCCTTCCGTGACTTCACTGTGTTTCTTCCCTGTGGTTGTCCCTTAGTCCCTGTTTCTCGGCATTCTGTCGGGTCCCCCTTTACACTCCTCCCTGTGGTCTCACCTACTCCACTGTTTGCTCAATTTCCCAAGTGCCCTCTCTGGCTTGGATCTCTCTTCCTGGCCTGAAAGTGTGACACCTCGGCGTCACTGTGCCCATAGCTGACTTTGTCCTCTTCCCTTACATACCTTCACTTCCCAAGACTGTTCCTTGTCCCTGCGGCTATTGACATAGTCAATCTTGTGTCATCCTGGACTCCCGCCCCATCCTGTCTGGTCCTCCTATTGGACTATCCCTGGACTTGCCCTCTCCCCCTGCCTCTGTTCAGGCCATGACTGCCAGGCCTCCCCCGTCCCCTTCCAGTTGATTCTCCCCACGGGGAAGAATCAACTGATCCCCAGAGGTCAGGGCAGCTGGAACTGCTGGAAGGTGAAGCCTGTGTCCTGTCACCAACATGCTGGGTGCCAACACTGCTCCTGGAAGTGTGTGGGCTTAGCACTTGGTCAGTGTTCAATCAACATTTACCACATTTGGTGGAACAGGAAAGCTGAAGACAGTCTGTTTGAACTTGCTCCAGGTTCATTTCTAAGTGTGCTGTCTTTATGGAAATACATGTTAATATATGGTAATTACAGCTCACTTTAGTCAAGTGTGCCAAAGAGTAAACATGAATTAACTTCCAAAGGGGTGGAGGAGGAACACGTGTGGTTTCAGAATTGCAAAGGAAAATGGTTTCTACGCAGCTTCTCTCCTTCTGTGCAGACCTGGGAACTGCATGGAGTTAGGTCCCATCTCCAAGTCAGAGTACGTTGCTCCTCTAACTTAATTTAACAACTTGTTTTTTTCCTGTGGCACTGGGGTTTGAACTCAAGGCCTGACACTTGCTAGGCAGGTGCTCTACCACCTAAGCCATTCCACCAACCCCAATAATTTCTAAAAGATAAATGCTGAAGGCCAGGCATGGTGGTACACACCTGTAATCCCAGCTACACAAGAGGTGGAGGTAGGAGGATCTCAGTCTGAGGCCAGGCCCAGGCAAAAGTGAGACCCCTATCTGGAAAACAAACTAGAAAGCAAAAGGGCTGAGTGGCAAGTGTTAGAGTCCCTGCCTTGCAAGCTTGAGGCCCAGTACTGAAAAACGTTTGAAAAGAGAAAAACAAATTGTTTTTAAATTTAAAGTAAAGCAAGCCAGATGCTGGTGTCTCACACCTGTAATCCTAGCTATCTGGGAGGCAGAAATCAGGAGGACTGAGGTTCTAAGCCAGCCTGGCCAAATAGTTTTTGAGACCCTATCTTGAAAATACCAGAAAAAAGGACTGATGGAGTGGCTCAAGTGGTATAGCGCCTGCCTAGCAAGCGTGAGGCCCCAAGTTTGAACCCTAGTACTGCCAAATAAAACAAGTACAAATAAGAGCTGGGCGCCAGTGGTGCACACCCATAATCCTATTATTTGCAAGGTTGAGATTGGAAAGATTTGCAGTTCCAGGCCAGCCTGGAGAAAAAGTTTGCTGAGTCCCCATCTCAACAGAAAAAATCTGGGCCTGGTAGTGTGTACCTGTCATCCCGGTGGCTGCAGGAAGTCTCAAATAGGATGATCATGATCCAGGCGGGCCTTGGCAAAAAGTGAAACCCTATCTCCAAAATAACCATAGGAAAAGGGGCTGGGGGTGTGGTTCAAGTGGTAGAGCACCTGCCTAGCAAGTGTTAAGCTCTGAGTTCAAACTCCAGCACCAGCAAGAATGAATATATTAATGACACCAGGTTTTCTTAAGGTGGGGTAAAATCTCCTGAGGCACCTGTTCAAAATGCATATTTGAACCTGAACTGTAATGAGGCTAGTCTCTGGGGCACCATCCGGGAATCTGGATTCCTTTTGGCTCACTGAGACAGGGTCTTGCTGCTATGTAGCCCAGGCTGTGCTCCTCCTGCCTCAGCCTCCCAGTAGTTGGGATCACAAGCATGTGTCACCATGCCTGGGAGTCTGACTTTTTGAACTGGCTCCTCGACAGCGACAGTATGACAATCACTGAGCAGCTGCCTGCAGACCTACCTAGCTGCAGGTGGCTACTGCGCTCTTCCTGCCGCATCAGCAGTCTGTCCAGTTTGAAAAGCTCCATGTTTGCTTTCAGTCTGTGGGATTTGCTCAATCACGCCATGGACCTTTACTGGGCATCTGTCATGTCCTGAGCTCTGTGCTGGCACTGAGGCGTGGTTCTTGCAGAGCTGTGGGTTTGGGGCTATGCGGTTCTGATGTGACATGTGCTGTGGAGAATGAAACAGAACCACAGTGGGAATGCAGGCAGCGTGAGATGACGAAGATGCAGAGTCAGACAGTAGGGCCTGACAGATTTTTTTTTTTTTGCAGTACTGGGGTTTGAACTCAGGGCGCACACCTTGAACCACTCTGCCAGCCTTTTGTGAAGGTTTTTTCCAGATAGGGTCTCATGAACTATTTGCTCAGGCTGATTTCGAACCTTGATCCTCCTGACCTCAGCCTCCTGAGTAGCTGGGATTATAGGTGCACCCAGCTCCTGTTTTATCCCAAATGAGGGAAGCCATTGGGGGCTTAGCACGGGTGGGTCACAATACCTGGCTGGTTTTTAAGGGGCCTGGGGAAGCACGAGTAGAGGCAGTCATGTTCTCCATCGGGCTCACAGATGCGGGTGGTGCAGACGGGGTAACAAAGCCAAGAGGACGAGAGAGTAAGCAGGTCCAGGACCTCTGAAGCACAGCTATGGGAGTGGGGAGTAAACAGGAGCCAAGGGTGACCCTGCCCCTAGGTGAAGGCTCAGCTGGCACAGTGGGCAGTAAGGAGGCACACACTTGGCGCTGACATTCCCTTGTTCTTCTGCTGAGCTCCAGGTGTCCCTCTGACAGTCCAGAGGCTCTGTCAAAGTGGACAGCTAGACATGGGCAGCTGGGCCTCCCAGGGGAAATAAAGCCACAGACAAACTCAGAAGGTACCAATGGTATGGCATTTAAAGAGACCTGATGTTGGCAGGGCACACAGGAGATCAGCTTGAGCAGAAGGGAAGCAAGGGAAGGCAGAAAGCAGACCGGGAGGGCACTGTTGGGAACAGAGTGTGCAAGACTGTGAACAAAGGTAGATGTGGTACCACACCTGTGATCCCAGCACTTGGGAGATTAAGATAGGAGGACCATGAGTTAAGGGCCAGCCTGGGCTACGTAAACCCTGCTTTAAAAAAAACAAACAAAAACACCGTATGCAAGGCCACCAAGGGGCCAGTGTGGTGGGGAGGATCTCGTGGACTCCAGTGCAGGATGAGGTGAAGAGAAGAAACTCTGGGAGCTGGGCTAAGAAGGGAGAGCAGGCAGCTGTAGGAGGTCATGAAGACAGGCCTGTTCCTTCACCACGATACATACCAGTGCTCATTTGCTGGCTGAGAAGACAGACGTGAGAGACAGGTGGGAGTGTCCTGCATTGCACTAGGTGGGAAGTCACCTGGATGCTGTGGGCTGTGAAGGGCAGGCCTGCAGGCTTCTGCCTTCTCCATGCTCTACCAGGCTGTCACTGCATGGGGGAGGGGGACAGTGGTCAAGGGGAGAGGACCTGCAGAAACTCCCCCTGGCAAGTGGAAGCCAGAGCTGGCTGCGATACGCCTGCCACTCCAGTGAGAAAAGTGCTGGTAGCACCAATGTGAGGGGCAACACAGAGCACCCCTCCCCTCAGTGCTCATGCACCTCTAATTCTGGGCGGCTTGTGCCAGTTCACTGTCACTGCTTACACATGGAGAGATGATACTCTATACTCGTGGTAGTTCCTGTTCTATAGTCAACCCGAACAATGAGTTAGTGAGTACTGAGTGGCTCAGGAAACAGAACTGGGTTCTTCCAGCCTCTGACCACACCTTGGTTTCGTGTTTCTGATGAAGGCACCTTACTGCTTTTATTGCTGCTGTGCTCACACTGGGCTCACAGCCAGCAGTGCTACTCGCGCCACACCCGAGGCCATTTTAAACAGCAAGACCGCCAGGAAAAAGCAGAAAGTGCAGAAGACCCGCTGCTAAACAAACCACGAGTTCACTGCGTAGTCTGAGGATGCACGCGTCATCAGCAAGTGTCAGTGTTGTGAATAACTATGAAAGCACTGAGTGTGGACTGGGTTACAGATAAGCTTTAATGAGTGGAGAATTCACAATCCATGAGTAACGACGACCAACTGCTCTATGACACTCCCACACACGTGCACACAGGTACCAGGGAGCTCACTCGAGGGGCCTGTTGCCTGCAGCCCTGCAGTGCTGGGCACCTCTCCATCAAGCGTGGGCTACACACGGCCTCTCCAGGACTCTGGAGTTTAATCTCAGCTCTACCACTTAGTCGTTGGTGAACTTAGCTGGTAAAGCCCATGGGGAGCCCAACTGAAGGGCAGGGTATTCTAGCGCAAAACCTGTGGGCCCCAGGGCTGCCATACAGATCTGTGGAGGGAGGAGGGGAGGGAGTGAGTGAATGAAAGAATGAAAGCCTACCTTGCTGACAATCAGAAACCTGTATGAAGCTTTCTCTCTTCCAAGACCAGGCCCGACTGGCCCAGCCTCTGAGACGAGACAAGACGAGACAGGGCGTGTCCAGGGTGAGACAGGGTGTGTCCAGGGTGATTTGGCCACAGGCTTGAGGTTCTGAGACAGAAGTTATGCTACATATTCTCAGGAGTTCAGTTCCAGATTTCTCTCCACCCACGAGCCATCAACAAGGACATTACCTCACGATTCTCCTCCAATTGTGGTTTGGTGTTGGGGGACACCAAATCATCCATTCCCTTCTTGGTGACAACACCTTCACTTTCCCAAATAATACCCTATAGGCAGTCGGAGAGTCATTTAGTTCAAAGTACTGATGACCTCCTAACAGTGGCCAGAACCTTTTTCCAGACAGACAGCCTCTGCCTTATGTCAACAGTCAGCATGGCATCGTTTGGTTAGCCATTCGACATCTGCTGGGCGCGTCTCACTCAGAGCGCAGTCAAGGGAATGGCAGAGGCAGGAAGGAACGAGGCCCAGTCATGACCTACCAGAGGCAGCATGAGGATTCAAACCCAGGCCTCTGGGTTCCTAGTTCTGCCCCTCAGCTGCCTCAGGGGAGAGAAGGCCCACAAAGTCCAGGCTGCAGGTTAAAGCCAAGAGCTGTGACACATAGTGGGGGGTGGGGTGGGAGATAAGGAAGCCCAGAGACACAGGGGAACTAGAAACAAATCACAAAGCCAGCAGCTGGTTCCTGCTTTCCAGGTGCACGGACAGGGCGTGTGCTCATCAGTGCTGACTCTTCAGTTCAGCTTCCTGGGAAAGGAAAACTCCCATGACCTGAACCATTGCAGGGTCAGAAGTTATCACCAACGTCACATGGCTCAGAGTGGGGCCAGGGAATCCATGTTACAGAAATAAAAGAAAAACGTTCTTGGCTTTCCCCTTGCTTGAAACCACTATTTCCTCAACACTATTAAAGTCCATAAGGGTACACAATAGGCCCAGGAATAAACTGGGCAGAATCCAAACTTAAGCAAAGGCTCTGAGTAGAGAGCAGCCCTGTCACCCCTTTGACCCAAAGCCACCATGGATCACCTCCCACCATCCTGGATCCCAGGAGGTGCCCTGCACTCCAGAGGTGCTGATCCCTTCTGTGAACGCAGGTTTGGGCTGCATCACCAGGATGAACAGCAGGACAGCAGCCTCCTCCTCTGCCTCCAGCTCCTAGTGACCTGAGCAAAAAGCCCTGAGAACTTGTCTTTAAGAGGTCCACCCACCTATGCAAGTCAGGTCTCTTCCGTCCCTTTCCAGTTGACATCCCCTCTGACCTCAGGATAAAAACTAGCTTTTGGCTGCACCAGGGAACCTCCTCCCACACAAAAACACACACTGCAGGGGCTCTACCTGGTTTATTTTTCTAGTCACTTGTTGCTTTCCCACTGGCGCTTGCCATCCAGCAGCACCCTTCCCTGAAGTCCTTCCTGGCCCAGTCCTCCCTTGGCTAAGGCAGCCCATGTGTGTTCTGGGAACGGCTGGGTGGGCCCAGTTCTTCTGCAGTATGGTCTGCACTCCTCACGAAGGAACAGGGTCAGGTATCCGCCACTAGGGCCACCCCGGAGTCATGGGGGGCTGCCATCACTGGCTGAGTCTGGGAGGAGGTCTGAGTAACAGAACCTGTTGAATCTTGAGGCCTGTCTCTATTGTGTCATTTCACTGCCTCCAATGGCTTTAGTAATTACTATTTCTCACGTATGAACAAATCCTAAAGGTTTTCTGTTCTTTACTAAGTAAATGTTCCCTTCACAGAAACCAGCCCCAGCTCATCACTGCGCAAATATCAGAGGACAGGTGCCAGCAGTGGAAGGTGAGGCACTTTCTCTTTCAGCAGGAGTGTGGAAGGAGCTGCAAGGTGGGGCTCTCACACATCCTGGAGATAGTTCTTCTGTCTCCCAGGTCTAAGGCAGGCAGGACTGTGTGATGTCGTGGGCTCTCACAAGCTCATACACAATGAGTTCATGAGGCTGAGCCAAATAGCCTCCTTTCCCTTCTGGTTATGTTGAGGGCTTCCTGAAGCCCTGGTCACAGAATGAGTCAGGCTCCCCAGGTGGCTGCTATGAAACACCTCATCGCCCCATGACAAAGCTGGGCTCCTCCTCCTCCTCTTCCGTTTCAGATGCCTCCTCAGAGCTGCTGGCTGGCTGCTCCTGGGACTGACTGGGCCCTGGAAGCACACAACATCAGATTATAAACACAAACCCAAGGAATCTGGATGGCTCCCACCCACTACAATGTCCACCACCTGGCCATAGGTTCATGCTGTGCTGCCAACTCACCTGCCCAAATCTCAGACCCTCATGGCAGTCGACAAAAAGTGTTCCCAAACCTCATGGCAGAAGGCTCTGCCCACACCACATATGCCAGCCTCCTGCTCTTCCCAGAACCCTCTCCCCACACCCCACAGGCAGCCCTTGAGCTGACCCAAAGCAGAGCACAGAGACAGCATGTTCCCAGCCCTGTTCCCCCCCTTTCACGGGAAGAGGTGTCAGGCGCATGTCCATGCAGCTGCTGGGGCAGGCTGTGGGCAGGTGAGTGGCCTGGCCAGTTCAGTCATGTGGGCTCTCCTGGGCAACCAAGGGCCCCCTGGAAATAAGCAGGACTCACCCTTGCCTGCGCTCCATGCCACCACACTCCCAAGAATTTTGCTGCTGTGCTTGCTTCAGCAGCATATATACTAAAATTGGAACTATACAGAGAAGATTAGCATGGCCCCTGTGCAAGGATGAAGTGTTCCATTAAAAAAACAAAACAAACAAACAAAAAAAAGAACTTTGCTTCTGCTGTCACCACAGAGTGACAGCCATAGAGCTTCAAGGTGGAGGCCCTGCCTGCCCTCCCTAGCATGGGGACACAAAGAGAAGCCCTTGTGGCAATGGACAGAAATCACCTGTGGGATTTTCCTGTATTGTTTTGGGCTATCCCGTCTCAACATCGTGCCAGCCAATAAGTTTCAAGAGTCCAGGTGGTGAGGGCAATGTGAACACTCGCTTGTTAAACACCTATGTGCCACAGCTGCGCTAAGTCTTTATGTATGTTATTTTGTTGAATTCAAATAGCAGCCCAGGAAGAAGGTTTCATATTACAGATGAAGAAGCAGCTCAGAGAGGCTAAGTGATGCTCAAGACCTATTTAGTAAGATGAGGACCTAGGAACTGACCTAGACTACCTGATTCCAAGTCTCTGACTACCTTCCCGCAGACATCACACAAAGAAACTGAGGTACAGCCAGGAGCCAGGTGAGCACACAAAAGGCACACTGTGGAGCGACTGAGTATGAGACAGACCAAAAGCCAGGACCTGCCAGGGTCTGGCACACCATGGCACAAATGACAAAGGACAATGTTTCTATGTGCCACAGCAGGCAGCTGTATCAGCTGTGCACTATGGCCAGAGGCAACTGGTCTGAGGCTCTTGGCACTGTCTCTACTACATCGAAGACTGAGCAGCTCAGGTCCTCTGCTGCTGGTATCCATCCGCTCCTGCACACCAGCTGGGAAGCTCTGCTCCAAAGCCTGGGCTCTAAGGCTGCAAGTGACAAATGCTTCTGTTTTGTTCAGAGTCACAGTCTGCCTACCTCAAGCCAAGAGCCACCACATACTCACAAAAGGTCTGAACACAGCAAGACAAGAGCCCTGGATCTAACTTGATTTGGTTTTTTTTGCTGGGATTGGGGTTGGAACTCAGGACTTTGCACTTCTGAAGCAGGCACTCTACCGCTTGAGCCACACCTCCAGTCTATTTTGCTCTGGTTATTTTGGAGATGGGGGTCTCAAGAACTATGTGATTAGGATGTCCTCAAATCTAGATCTGCCCAATCTCAGCCTCCCAAGTAGCTAGGATTTACAGGCCTAAGCCACCGGCACAACAAATGCATTTTTTTTTTTTTTGGTGGTCCTGGGGTTTGAACTTAGGGTTCCACACTTGCAAAGCAGGTGCTCTAATGTTTGAGCCATGCCTCCATTCCCCAACCCAATTCTGATCTTTTTTCCCTCGTCCCCTTGATTCGGATTTTGAAGAAACAGTAAAATGCTGATTACCCTGGATGTTCTGGGGATGGGGTGACGAAGAGGACTCAAACATTCCTTGGACTAAAAAGCCTCTGAAAATACACTACTTCACCTAAAGGTAAACACAGTGGATTCATGTGGGGAAGACATACTGTCTGTCTAGAGGGGATCTAGAAGTACCACCTTCAAAGAGTTTGGAAGCCTAGACCTGTGGCACATGTTCAAGTCTTTTTTTTTTTTTTTTTTTTGTGGTATTGGGGTTTGAACTCAGGGCCTACACCTTGAGCCACTCCACCAGCCCTTTTTTGTGTGATGGGTTTTTTCAAGATAGGGTCTCATGAACTATTTGCCAAGGCTGGCTTTAAACCACAATCCTCCTGATCTCTGCCTCCTGAGTAGCGGGATTACAAAAGTGAGCACCAGCGCCCGGCAGAATTAAACCTTAATTGGGCAAATTTTAAAGTCACTTGTGAGGGATCCGAGGGCAGAAGGCAGTCAACTGACTACCCATGCATGAAACCACCTCTGTGAAGGGGTGAGGAAGGGGCTAATCTATGTACTTTTGGAGCTGAGTGTAGTCTTAGGCTAACGGCAAAGGAACCGCACAGGGTACCACACTCTGCTGCAGCGGTTCTCAAAGCACCATCTGACAAGAAACGAGGGCATGGATGGTGGGAGCAAGGCCTCTCACTGATGCAGTGTGAGGTTGCAGACAAAAAGGACAGAAGCTAAACCACCACTCGGGAATGAGTAAGTGTTGGACACACCGGTATGAAGCAGGTTCAGCTTCATGTAGATACAGACAGCTACACAGGAGTTCTTTTCGACAGGGGTGCATACACTGGTTAGCACACACAAAGCCATGTTCTGCAAAAGGATGGACTGCATACAGGGTGTGGTCCCATCAGACAGTATCTTAGTTTGTGTAAACACACTGTATAATACTTGCATGACAACAAAATCAAGCAGTGCTCTTCTCAAAACATACCGCCATCATTCAACGATGAAAGATTATATATTTCCCAGCTCTGTCACCTGAGAGAGCTTGAAAACATCCCCCCAAGCCAAGGGCACATTGTCGCCATATCTTGGTTCTCTAACACCCTTCCTTCAATAAAAGGAGCCGGACTCCTTGGACAAATTCTGGATTCTAGGACAAGGGCAGAAAATACACAAGATGAAATACCTTTTCTGGATTGTCTTACAGTGCCAGAAAATAAGGAAGTACTCAAAAAAAAAATTGGCGGGGGGAGGGGGGGACGCGCAGATTGCAGGTGTGGTTCAAGCCTACTTTGGAAAAGTGTGTGTGTGTGTGTGTGTGTGTGTGTGTGTGTGTGTGTGTGTGTGTGTTTTTGGTGGGGGATGAACACCACAACAATAGGACTTTGTCAAAGGGACAGAGACGAGAGCCAACTGAAAGAGTCCCAATGGCCAAAGCTAAAGTGACTCAAGCAACAGGATAAATAAAGCAGCACTGGCTCATAATCTAAAATCAAACAAACATTCTGATGGAAACAAACATGATAAAATAGATGATGAAACGAGTCCCCCTGACGTTGGGAAGGGAGGGCACAGTTGGGCTGCACATGGTGACTTCCTTCCTAAGTGAATTATTCAGGGCAAGAAAGGGAATTTACAGTGGAAAAGCCTGACAAGAAGTACTGCAGGCAGGTGGCCACAGTCATGTCCACAGGGGTGAGTCATCTCAACAGTGCAGCCTTGATACAACGTGATGTTGATGGCACTTTACCTTTGGGCCCTCCCAAAACCAAACCGCTCAGTCTAATGACAAGAAAGACATCAGGCAGACTCCAACTAAGGACATTTTAGACACGTGACCTAAATGAACAGAGGCTCAGCCAACAGAGCCGGAGCACACATGGTGATTAAACAGACTGTGGAGTTTTGGATGGAATTCTGGAGCAGGGAGATTAGGTGAGTGCTAAGGAAACCTGAATAAGGTGTGGACCTTAGCTGCCCAATGTAAATCAATGCTGCTCATTGTGACAAATGGACCATATCAACTCAAGTTGTTAAACATCAGGGAAAACTGGGCATGGGAGGACTCTCTGCACCATCTTTGCAATTATTCTGTAAATCTAAAGGGCTGGGGTATAGCAAGCACAAAACCCTGTGTTCAAACCCCGGTATTGATGGGAAAAAAAAATCAGTGCTTGCAATGCTTGCTGGGGATGTGGTGTGGTGGAGGAGGCTGAATAGGTGGAGCATCAGGGACTTTTGAGGGCAGTGGCGCTCTTCTGTATGACATTGTAATGGTGGGTACATGATGCTATGTCTGATAAAATCCATACAACTTTACAACAACACAGAGAATTAAACCTTAATTGCACAAATTCTAAAATCATGTAGGAGGTCAGGAATCCCAGGAGAGAAGGCAGCCAAACTGCTTACATATGCATGAAACCACCTCTGTGAAGGGGTGGGGAAGGGCTACGAGTGTAGCTTAGTGGCAGAGCACTTGCCTAGCATATGCAAGGCTCTGGGCTCCATCCCTACTACTGCAAGACAAAACAAAACCTATTCTAAAATGAAAAGTTCATTTAAAAGAAAGCTGGAACTGGCTGGGTGCTGTGACTCAAATCTGTAATCCTAGCTACTTGAGAGGCAGCCTGGGCAAAAACTTTGAGAGATCCCATCTCAGTCAATGGCTGGGTATGGTGGCACTCACTTGTCACCCCAGCTATGCAAGAAAGCACAAATAGGGGGATCACAGTCCAGGCAGGCCTCGGCACAATGTGAGACCCTATCTCAAAAATTACCAATGCAAAAAGGGCTGGCAGAGTGGCTCAAGTGGTAGAGCGCCAGCCTAGTAAGCGAGGCCCTGAATTTAACCTTCAGTACTGCCAATAAATAAATAAATAAATAATCTGGAACTGGGAATACAGTTGAAGACACAGCACATCATGTTCTCACACAGTATAGGTTCTATAATGAGGCGTATGCAAAGCCCCACGGATTAGGGCAAGGTGGAAGGCAAGGCTAGATCTGCAGGCGGGGTGGGAGGGAGGTGAGGAGGGGATGTGCAAAGACAAGCATTGCAGAAGGAGGGTGAAAGATGAACAAGAGGGCTCCAGGCAGGGAGCGGGAGAAGGGAAGGAAGGGAAGCGCTTACTGGGCTTCTAGCAGGGTCACCTCA